CCCTTTCTTTTAAGCCTTCTTAGAGGCCTGGCAGGGAGTAGGCGTCTTGCTAGCATGCTGTGGTGTCTTTTAAGCCTATCACTGTATCTGCTTGTGTGCCTTGAGATCTGTTCTTCCACTGTATGCAGATTAAGGTCCCGATGAAGGGTTGAGCTACGTACATAGTATGGGCAGTTGGTGATGGCACGCATTGCACGATTTTGCAAGACCTCAATGCGTTTATAGTTCGATTTTGCAGCAATACCCCAGATCTGCACTCCATATAGCCAGATCGGGGCTATACAGTGGGCGTATACTGCCCTTTTGGCTCTAAGTGTCATGGTGCTTCTTCTGTTGATCAACCATCGCAGTTGTTGCATTCTCTGACCGCATCTCCGTGCCGCAGCTTTTAAGTGTGGGCCAAAGGTCAACCGTTTGTCAAGGGTGATCCCAAGGTATTTAGCCTGCAGAGGTTGTTCTAGGGTTACGCCATCAAATTGTATGGGTGGTGTGCGCCTAATGAGAGTCTTCAAGGTGAAACAAGGATTGATGGTCTTATGTGGATTTACCTTTAAGTTCCATCTTTTGCACCATGCAGCCAAAGTATTGAGATACTCTTGGAGGCCACGTGCTGCCTCAGTGCAAGAACTGGAGCTGTATAACAGTGCGATATCGTCAGCGTAAGTGGCGAGTAGGGCCTTCCTGGGAGCTTCCATATGGTGCATATTTGGGCAAGGCAAATCCGCGGTAAATATTGAGTAGAGCAGCGGGCCGAGGACGCTGCCCTGCGGAACTCCAGCTCTCATGTAGCAAGGGGTTGAGTAGGTGCTTCTGACCCTGACCATGAACTTCCTATCTTCCAGGTAAGATTTCAGGACTCCATAGTATGGTGCTGGAAGCAGCTTTTTTATTTTGCAGAGTAGGCCGATATGCCAGACTCTGTCAAATGCTTGCTGCATGTCAATAAATACAGCATTGCAGTATTCCAAGTCGTCAAACGCCTGAATAATGTGCTTAACCAGTCTGTGAACCTGCTCCACAGTGCTGTGTCCCTGTCGAAATCCAAACTGGTGATCTGGGAGGATACGGCGCTCCTTAATAAAGTCACCTAGTCTGTTGGCAATCAGCCTTTCCCATATCTTGGATAGCGAAGACAGCAGACTTATGGGCCGATACGATTCCGGATCCTCTTCAGGTTTCCCAGGCTTATGTATCATGAGAATTGCTGCCATTTTCCACTGCTTTGGGAAGGACTGCACCCTAAATATAGCATTAAATATTTTCGCCATGTATAGGATGGCTCGGAGAGGTAGCGCTTTTAACGTGGCATTACAGACATTGTCGATGCCAGGAGTCTTCTTTATTGGCATTGATTTAATGACTTCGGCAATTTCCTCAACCCTGATTGGTTTAATTGGTAGCGACATTTGTAGGGGTATCTCTAGGCTGTCAAGCGTCTCTCGATTCTGCTCCATTGTAGCGAATTGGTAATGGGTGAACCTAGTCTCCAAATGATTTGCAAAGGAATTGGCCTGTTCCTCCTCGTTTTTAGCAAGTTCACCTCCCGGGCATCTAATGGGTACCTGTCTGAACGGTTGTCTTTTGAGGGATTTGGTGGACTTCCAGAGTGAATACCCAGCATCCACCGTATAGTCCATAGAAGCCAGCTTCTGCTCAAAAAAGATACTTCGAAGGTCTCTTACCACATTTCGTAGTTGTTTTGCAGCACGGTTCCATAAGATGCGGTCCCAGGGATCTTGAGATCGGATTGCTCGCCTTCTGAGTCTCCTTTTCTGTGTCAGGAGCTCTCTAGCCTCTCTTGTTAGGGATATTCCATAGGGGGTGCCTGTCCGAGGAACAGAAGGCGTAGATGCAGTCGCAGCCCTGTGAATACTTTGCGTAAGGTGATCAACAGCCATTTCAATTTCTTCACCAGAATTTAGCGTGATGTTCAACGGGATCATGCTCTCCAGTTGTTGACTAAAAGCGAGCGGGTCAGTGTGCTTGTTGACTAATCGTGGACTTGGATTCACATGGGTACTATCTGTCACAATACTGATGATCAAAGGCAAGTGATCGGAGTCCAGATCCCAACTTTGTGTTATACTTGTTAGGGAATCTGGTATACCATGATGCACCGCGAAGTCAATGCAGGAAGGCGTATGACTGGGTACATAAGGATACCTGGTTGGCGAACCAGTTGCAAGTATCTTAGCTCCAGTGATAGAGATGGCTTCCGCTAGCTCACGCCCCCGGGGTGAATTGTAGGTGTCGCCCCAAAGCCAGTGTCGGGCGTTCCAGTCGCCACCAATCATATACCGTTGGCCGCAAGAGCGTATTGTGTCAGTAAATTGTCTTTCGTCGATACTAACACTGGGAGGACAGTAAATGGCGCCGAACTGCACGTCACCCAGTCCTGTAGCTACTTTTACTGTAGACATTTGTATGCTGCGTGTCTCTATGACCCTTTGCGGGAAATGGCGAAGAGTTGTCCTAACGAACACGGCTGCTCCACCAACGCTATTATTATTTTGCGATGGCCTAAATGCTGGATAGAAAGCATAACCATATATCTTAACAGTATCCCCTCTTTTAATTCTAAGTTCCGTCACAAGAAGAATGTCCACGCTATTATTGTGCGCGTAAAGCTCAATATCTTTAGCTTTTCTTGAAATGCCGTTGGCATTCCAAATAAGAATCTTTAGTGGATTCATTGTGGGTGTGGAGCGTTGTTAGAAAGCTGGTAGGTATGTTCATTCCCAGCTCCTTGCTTTAACATGGTGGTTATTTCAAATACCATTCTTTCGAGCTTTTCAAGTCGTTGATTGGTTTGATTTCTGTGATGTTGCTGATCTTGTTGCTGCTGTTGCAACCACATAAGAAACTGATGTTGTTGTTGTTGTTGCATTTGCTGCTGCCATTCTTGGAACTGTTGTTGTTGCTGTTGTAACAATGCTTGGACGTCAAGTGAATTATTTTGCTGAGTGTTCAGTCGTTGTTGCTGCGATAACTGTTGCGTTTGTAAGTTATATAAACGTCGCTGAGCTGGTCCATCCTTGGAGGGAGTTGTATTAGAGTATTCTTTTGCTACTGTGGCATAGGATACTTTTGTATTTACCCCAGGGCCTATAGATGGTTGATGCTGTACCATATTTTGGTGTTGTTGTGTTGGTTGCTGATCTTCAGTTGACTGGTTAGTACTCTTACGGCGATTAATCTGCACGGAAGGAAACTGTTGCTGATCTCTATGGTTGAACCCATGATTCTGCCTATTTAAGTGATTCGCCTTCTTCGCAGGCCCCATAGATCTGCGGAGAAGCTCCTGGTACTTATGGCAACCTTTATAACTAGCCATGTGATCGTGAGAACAGTGATAGCATGTGGGCAGAGCATCTACAGGACGTGTACATTGTGTGGTTTGGTGATTTTCACCACACCTGGCACAATTTGGATGTCTGCGGCAGTATTTAGCTGTATGGCCATACTCCTGGCAACGTCGACATTGTGCAATTTCACTAGACTTTCGCATCCTTTCGATCCGTATTTTCTGTCGGCAAAGGGTCTTCACGTGATAAATTTCATTAATATTAGGGCAGGGCTTAATGTTAATGAAAAAAATATTGAGTTTTTCATCTTTATTAACCCTTGAACTAGGGTTGTGAATGTGAAGTACTTCATAGCCTAAACATTTCAGATCGGCCGTTATATCTTTGTTTTGTGTGCTGTGATGTAAGTCCCTTACTACAATTCTGTGTGCTTTTTCTGTCAGCATTTGGTAAGTGTGAAACTGCATACCAATTTCATCCATATAGCTAACAATTTTTCTGTAAGTGTCACTGTCTTTGGGAAATATTCTGACTGTTTCCCCTTGGTTAGCTTTGACTACGACGTTATCTAGACTTGCCTTTTCTTGTATGAGCTCAAATAGGTCATTTAAGTTGCTAATATTAACAACAATTTGGGGTGGTTTTTTAAAATCTTTGAGTTGATTGTTGGCGTTAGATGTTTCCTGGGATTTATTGGCAGTATTGTTTTCTGCAGATTGAAATTCGTCCATGCGGGCACTAGCATCATCGGCATCCTCAGACATCATGTCTTCCCCGTTTTCTTCATTAGTAATGATGTCCGTGTCGAGAATAGCAAACCTGTTACTAGAGCTTGCCTTCTGGTTAATTGTGGGGACCAAGTGCGGGCCCTGGGTACTGCTCACTCTTTTCGGTTTAAGGATGGGGGACAGTGGCTTTGCATTTTTTCTCTTGCCTGCTTTCCGATTTTGATCATCCAGTAATCTTCTGGCAGCACCGCTTAGATTTTTTGCTGCAATGTCGGGGCTGGTCAATTGGGAACATTCTTGGTTTGCTACACTTGAACCAGAACAGATGCTGCTCATTGTGGGATTTGCCATTGTGTATATGGTGCTGCTACTGGCACTAGAAAATGTCACTGTTGTTGTGGTGGGACTGCTTTGAGACTTATTGCATGTAATGCGTTGAATTTCTGATCGGCACTCGTCTCTAATCTTACTAGGTAATTTTCCAGCTATTGAGAACATTTTTTCATGATCAATCTGCTTCTTTATAAGCTGAGAGTCATCGAAACTGTTTTCATTCATTGTTTTTATATTGTCTTAATATTCAGCAAATAATTTGCGGGCCCAAATGTCCGGAACAGAGCATAAACAGTTCGGTTTTACTGATAAGCAAAGTTTGTTTACCTCTTGTGCAGTTCTGCGCGGGGTGAGGTAGATGACTTGCCCGAAGGGCAGAAAGCACCGTTTGAATGCACTTCACCTGATGCACTTTTTGTTTTTGTCAAACTGCCGACACCGCTCAAAGCAGCGCCCAAATAAATGATTTGTGCTATTTTGAGCACAAAAGGGAATGCACCGATAAGCAAAAAATAAATCACTTTTGCATGCGCGCGACACAACCGATCTCTTTGACTGCCAGAGTAGGAATACCTTTTCTCAGTACCAGGCAAAACATAAACGGCCTTAAATAAAGCAGCAGACACCTCTTTAGTTCGGTTTTAATGCAATTAAATATTTTATTTACTGAATGCATCTTAATCAATCACCTCTACGTACATCACATGCTCAGCACATCGTAGTTCATATGTGCTGGCATGTTGTAATACTACGAGTATTTGTGTTTTTACAGCGCATTGATATATAACCCATTCTTTTCCAAACGTCAAACTACAACAGTTATTCCGGTTCTCTCCTCGAAAACGTTTCCTAAAAGCGCAAGTGTTTGATCCGTGGTTTCTACTTTAGAAAAATATATGTATGATGTTATATATTATGAAGTAGCGTTTATCAGATTACATGGACTGGGTACAAATTTGTATACAATTCTATTTTGTTTTCCTTTGGTGATAAACAAGTTTATGTTATTCTTAGAATACAATCATTTTCTTACTTGGAAGTTCAATTTATTAGGACTTCTGTCAAGTTTACTGGGGTTGTGTTGGGTTGTGTTCTCACTATATGAAAAGTGCTAAGAATTTCATAGCCCCATATTTAAATCGATTTTTTGTCTTTTCCAAATATTTACCAACATTGTTGGTAAAATAAACATTGTTAAATTTTTTAAACATCGTGTAGCTTACAGACTTTCTTAGAATGTAAACTCTAGAAACAGTGATCTGCTCGAAACATCTAAGGGAGCTCAACTTATAAAATGTGAGGTCATTGCGCTTCGGTCTCAGTCATCTGTTTTTATACTTTTTTGTTTTTGCTATGTAAGGCAACTTCTTCCTCTTAACATAATGCGCAACCTAAGAATTACAAGTTGAACAAAGTAAACGAAAGTGTTGTATTATGCATAAATAAATTATTTCGTGTATTTAAAAAGTTCCTCTTATGTTTTTTACGCTTCCTTGTTTTAGTACTAGTATGTATTATGGAGACAGTTTTAGTTCAACTATTACAAATTTTCAATTTAATAAACTAAGTGTAAACTTAAACGTTTTATAAAAGCGCGCCTCAAGCGAACGCTGTTCCTTACAATTTGCATTTGTCCGTTGAATTAGCTGCCGTTGCACACTAGCATTTCGCTTCTCTGGCCAATTGATTAACCACAGTTTTCCGGCACAGCTCTTCGCCAAGTAATATCATAGAACATAAATCAGGAGACAGATTCGATACGATACAGAACTAGTAACATATACCGGGCAACTAGACCCGTAAGGCGAGCGGAACTCAAACGGAACGCAATTGATCTGCCTGCGATTTGTGTGAGTGTTTTCGGGTCAACTAAAAATCTAGAAAAAGTATAATATGCGTCGGAACGTTAGGTGTAAATCTTGAAATTGAACATAAGTAGAGTTGGCAAATGATACAAGTGTGCATATGCATTTTCTGAAGACCACGCAACCTAGCGGTTATAACACCATTGCAGAAATGGAGATGACGACGATGGGGGCGCAGTTACAAATCTACGGACATGCTAGTTGCGAGAAAGGCTGCATATGCCAAATGAGTGTTGTGATGAGGGTGTGTGCGATTTTACAGCAACATATAAATTACATTCCGGGCAATCCGCGAGTTGAGTTTAACTACCACCTTGTCCCTTGCCATAGATGAGCTCTTCGCAGATCTTGAGCAAATCGGCGTTTTCGCGCGATTTCTGTTGCAGCTGCTCCGTCATCGAGACCCGCGAGATCTCCTCCTTCTTGAGTAAAGCTTTAAGTTTTTTCGTCTCGTCGGCATGCTCCCTCGCGTAGGTGTCCAGCTTTTTGTTTGCACTAGGTCGGGGAAAATATTTGTCAGTTGGAAACCTTTTATAAGAATTCAATTGCCTACATTTCCAGCTGCTGCATGGCATGGTTCTTCATCTTGTCGTAGCGTTGTTCCTGCAACCGTAGATTGTCCATCATCTGCTTCCGCTCCGCCAGGAGGGATTCCTCATTGCTTTTAAGCTGCGAGGTCATCTCTTTGCTTTTTTCGTATTTCCTGCAACACCACCACAGTAAGTTGAATGTCCAAACTAGTTTTAGTGTCTTTGCTTACACATGCAGATCGGAAAATGTCGTCTCCAATGACGTTAAGTGATGGTAATTGGCGTCCCGGTCTGTCTGGACTTCTTGCAACTGGCGCTCGTGGAGCTGCGCCTGCTGCTCCTTCTCACTAATGAGCTCCGCGATTGCCTTCTCATATGCTTCGATGACACCGCTGGAAAATATAAATGGGTTTTGCAATGTGAATAAAGCTATCTATGCTGTTGTGTAGAAAGAGTTTCTAAAAACCTGCTGTTTGTATGCAAAAAGTAAGAAGGATAAGGATAAAAATAAATAATTAGCATCAACCTAATCTGAAAATAATAAGTTTGAACAATTTACACCTGTTGAATTAGCAATAAAATAAACTGAAGCTAAAAATGAGAAGACCCTGTTTTTCTTTCCACCTGTTATATAGCGTACAAGCTATCCCCTTAACATATATAAACGGAGTTTCATTGCTAATAGAACCGGTCACATCAGACATCAACTAGCAGTGTTGATCCAGGTTACAGAAACTAACAAGATAGAATGCTATAGTCGAGTTCCCGACTATCAGATAGCTGTTACTCAGCTAGTGGAAGTGCGAACGAGAAATTTCATAATTTTCTGGAATATCAGTAAAAATTGCGAATAAAATTAAGAAATGAAAACATATTTTTTCAAAAGTGTGGGCGTGACAGTAGTTTAGACATAGAAGTTTACAAGACTAATTTAATAGTGAGAAAATATCACATTTTTCAGAAATGGGCTGTAGAGTGGGTGTGGCAAAAGGTTTTTCCACTAATCGATTGAAATTTTCAAGACTAATAAAAAAGTGAAAAAATACCACATTCAAGTTTTGTAGTTCCTGAGATCAAGGCGTTCATACGGACGGACGGACAGACGGACATGGCCAGAACCGACTTGGGTATTGATCCTGATCAAGAATATATGTATATACTTTACGGAAACGCTTCCTTCTGCCTGTTACATACTTTTCAATGAATCTAGCATACCCTTTTACTCTACGAGTAAGGGCTATAAGAACAAATGGCAGAGAGGCTTACTTCAGTTTTGCATTTGTCTTGTCCTTCTCCGTAATACGCTTGATCAGTGCTTCCTCGCGCTGCTCTCCCTCCTTGAGTTTCTTTTCAATGTCTTCGGACCTTGTTCTAAAATGATAAGCAACAACATTAGTTGGCATTTATTGTAATTAAGGCCTTCTTACACTTCATTTTTGATTTTCTTCTCCAGCTCATCCATGTCGTTGTAGTTCTGCGTCTTATCCTCCGTATTGGGGCTAAGTGTAAGAAAGCATTAGTAACATGGCACAAACAAACTGATTCACCTCTTACTTACTTGGAATTGTCGAAGGTTTTGTTGCAATCGTTATCAATGACGTCTACACTCATTTTAACATGCTTCTGTGGAAATAAACCGTTAATATTATTAGTATATTCTTACGAAAAACCATTAAATAATAACACAGATTTAAGTTTGTGCTTGGACAATTCAATGATAGTTATCCCGCAAATTATTGTGCAATTTAAAACAGAATGTGTTTAGCTTACTTTTGTTCTATACACAGGTGGCTTAAAATCCCATTTCTTGGCTGTATCTTTGGCACTCGATATTAATCCCGCAGACTGGTTCCCGTCACTTGTTTCGTGCTCCTCCAATGTTGGGCTAAGGAGCCGGTTTTGATACTGGTTCGATCCCAGAATATTCTGCAGCGCCTGCTCCTGCTGATTCGGATGATTAACGGCAACAGGGACTCCAAGGAGGGGATCGAACTTCAGCAGCAGTGAACTGCGGTCGATAGGCGCATTATTGCTGCCTTTCGTGTACAAATAATCAAAATCTGATGAATTCAGTATTACTGTGGTTGGTGTTCGTTTTTTGTTGGTGTATGGTTATGTTTAGATGAGTACATGCGCGTGCATTTTTGTGTTTCGTGAGAAAAGAAGAAAAAATACAAAGACATTTAGTAGTTAGTCACTTAAGCATAGGCTGTTTTAAATCAATGTCAACATTAAGGGGTTCCCCAACGGCCTCTTCCTATACTCGAAAATCTACCCCAAGAAACGCCCCCTAAAACCTAACATGGAAACCCAGCTACATGATATAAAGAATTGGGTATAGGTTTATTGTATCATGCTCGGTCGGGAAGTCATTTTTATTTTTTTAATGCAATATCTCATCTAATTTACAACTTAAACTAAAGTCTGCTCCATTTCTTCAATGGACTTGTTCTACTATCATTAATACTGTTCATTTGACGTTACACATGCTTGGCTTGACTCAATATCAGTTTTGATCAATTGTATACATAAATAATGAGCTTTTTATATGAAAAACTGTAAGCACGATTCAGGAGATGGGTAAATGTTTATTTTTGAAAGAAATCTATGAAGGAGTCATAATGCTTATCTTTGCTTATCCCTACACTTCCACGAATAATTCAACTTTTTGCTCTCTGGGGGCTTGGATAAAATTGTCTTTCGAAAATAATTTCTTTCTGTTTGACTCGTTGAAAATAAGAAAGGAAGAGCGCGATTGTGAAACCAAAATAAGATATGGTATGACTCAAGTCTCCCTTCCCATTCAACCCCCTGAAAACCAAACCCAGATGCCGATGGGCACGAAATTGAGGTGTGTCTGTTTTGCATTGAAGCCGCATTATTCCTTTTACAGTACTCACGAAGGAATTTTAATTTTCTTGGAGGTTCGAAAACTCCTTTATCGAAAAGAATATACTAATGCCCTGTAGTATGAGAAACTTGTTAGGAAAACGATCTGTTTAAGTGTGAAGCTTTCTTGGAGACAACAAATCAAGCAAACTTGAAAATGAAATGATTTCATTTAAAATCATTGAAATCTTAAAAACTCAAATAAAACGGATACCAACCAAGATGGAACCCCTTTTTCTCAGTGCATTTGGAAATGGAATGGGGAACACATAAACAAATCCCCAGCACAGCGGTGGAAGGCTTTAAAAATAGTGAGAACCCCGGGCAGACCCAGATATAATGTTCAGGTCACCATATAGGCCGCCTTGTAACTCGGGATTTGTGCATATCTCAGTTTTCAAAACACCGGACCAAAACAAAACAAAGGCAAACGACGACTTGTGAGTCATTTTATGCAATCGACAATGGTTTCCGAAAGTGGGTTGAGTGAAGGAGAGCAGCAGCGGAAGCGTGGAGAGCGAAGGAGCAAAAGAGAGAAAGAGCGGCTCTTCACTGCGCTGCATTTTCATTGCCTATCGCTGACAAGGCTCGCACTTTCAAGATTCTCACATAATAACGTTAACGGTGACCACGAAGCACCCGAAAAACACCCACACGTACATATACATATGTACAACCGTACACGAATACGCAGAGCAAATCACACAATGAAGTTTCACGCTCTCACTCTCACATACTATTTTTCTTAAGCGATTCGGAGATCTGTCTTCTGGTTTTATTTATGCCTATTTGTTGTTTTTCTGCAGCACAGCTGTTGGTTACATTTCCGATTTCTAGTCCTTCTTGCGGGCCAATATCAAAATAGAACCTCGCGAGACTTGGTAAGCAAACAAATAATGCTAGTTTTGCGTTTTTCAAAGTCACATTTTTCTATATAGCAGTCTGACAATACCAAGATTTAACAGCAGTACGGTACCGATAGATAAAGCGACGTCAGATGTTGGAAACTAACTGAAATGGAATTTCTTATTGCTTACATTTCTCTCTCTGCGAGTCCAATAAGAAAACCAACGCACGCACGCGAGCGAACGAACGAGTCTCAATTCTGACTAGAGTGTGGGACAGTGGAACGTATTCAGCAGTCAGCAAGTGCGCAGAGAGAGTAGGTGCGAGGGAGAGAGAGCTAGTGCTGTGTACACGTTGTCTGTTTGGAGTTTTGCCTACCCCCTCTATCAATCCCCGTCACATTGAACTGCCACCCACCGACTGTCTCTTTCGCTCTACTGTAACGTTTTGGGACGGGGGGCTATAGTGCACTGAGAGCTGAATTCCAATGCGCTTGAGTGTTGGTGTGTGTGAACAGTAGGGGACAGCAGATAACAGCAAAACGTCGATACTACAATCTTCTTAACTGACTTATAGAAATAATAATATATAATAATATTTTATTTAGTTTCAATTTTCTTTGAAAATATACATTTTTCTATTTTTATCCAACTGTTTTAAGTTTTCACATTAAACAATACGCTACAGACGAGTCCCTCAGAAATTTCAATTTCACGCCCACAAAGCGTGTTCGCAATAGCACTACTTTGGTCATGGACACCCATTATCTGATAATCGAAAAACTCGTCTATGGAGTCCTGTCTTGATTTTTATGAATTTCGATTATGAATTCATAAATGAATCTGTCAAATACAAAGTTTATTTAGCGAATCAACACAGTACTCTGCTGCAATTCTCCTATAAATGGTGAGAGCGCAAAAGAAAGTCTCACCTAAGCTGTTGCTCATGTGTAGGGTGGATTTAACTTGAGAGTTTTTTTTTTCCTAGTCAGCGATAACGATAAATTTTAGGCGCCGTTGTTTTAACCATTTAAAATTGTAGAAAAAGTGAACGAAATAAGCTGACGGCTATAAAAATTGATAAAAAAATATATGTGGACAGACAAAATAAAGATAATAAACTGCTTCTTTAATTAAACAAAATGACCTCACAATTAAAGAAGTTTCTCTTACATTCCGCTCTTGCAGATAAGAGACACAGATAGATGTGAGAGAGAACAGAAAGTACCAATTAAAGAGAGCGGCAAAATAAAAAGAGAGAGCGCACTGCGGTATTTTTCATCCGAGAGCAGAATAAGACCAAAAATAAAGCAAAAATCAGTTTCTAAACTCACAAAACGCCATAAAATAAAACTGCATTGCATAGTTAACTCCTTTTGTAAGCTGTGGCAGGAAAAAAAAAACAAGCATTTTGCAAGATAATTTGCAAGAAAAATATTAAAAAATACAAGAACTTTCAATTTTTTGGCAAATCTATAGAAATAAGCAAAACAAAATAAAACAAGAGAGAATGCTATTGTCGAGTATCAGATACCCGTTGCTCAGCTAGTGGAAGTGCGAGCGAGGAATTTCACATTATCTGGAATATCTCTAATGTTTGGGGGAAAAAAATGAAAAATAACTTTAAAATTTTTAATTTTAATGTGGGCGTGACAGTTTTGGGCGCTTTGTGGGCGTGCCTAAAGGTTTTTCGGCAATTCAATAGAAATGTACCAAACTACCAATAAAGCAACAAATTTCTCAAAAATTTTCAAAAAAGTAGGAGTGGTAGTTCTGGTCGGTTTGTGGACGTTAGAGTGGGTGTGACAACATCATTTAACAAATTTGGATTGCGTCTATATCTCTGGAATCTGCATGCCTAATCTAAGTCGATTCTTGGGGAATGTTTCATCCGAAATGCTTTAAAAATATGGCATTGAGACTACCAAATTTTCAGTCCATTACTTTTAAACAGAGCTTATTACTGCAATATAATAATCGCATAGTCTTCTAATAAAGTTCTTAAAAAAAAATTCGAATAATACAGTTAAAAAAGTTTGACACGTAATGGTACATTCCTTACAAAGGATCAAAGTGGTCATTCACTTACGGTTTTGTATGTTGGCGCCATCCTGGAATTCCGGATCAATAATCGCCTCCTGCTCGCCGGTTGCACCACCCCTCTTCCTGTTCATCGCAGCAGCGTTTTTTCCTCCAATCTCCACATCAGCATTGACCCTAATCTTTGCTTGTTCGTCGGAACCACTGATGGTCCTGAACATGTCATCCGAAACTGGAGAAATAACACCAAAGTGCTCCAAGAAAACATCGTCCTTCTCATCACTGGCGCTTAGCGTGGCTTGCTCTTTGGCGGAGAGAGCCTGCTCCTCCAACACAACGGTACCATTTCCCAATGGTGACACCGGAAACTTCGCCTCATGGATAGGGAGTCTATTTAAATGTTGGTGGGTAGGAATAGGTGGTGAATTTGAAATTGGTGCTTGGCGATCCTTCAAAGTTTGCTGGGGCGACTTCATGGCGGCTACATCATCTCCCTTCATAGAGATATCTACATCCTTGAAGTCATCAGCCCCGGTATTTTCAGTGGCCTCCAATGCTGGAGAAGCATTTTGCTCCATGCAGAAGGTGCGGCGTGGGTTCTCCTTTTGCATACAAAAAGTCCGACGCGATTTGTCCTCTTTCTCTTCCGTCGTAGACTGAAGCACCGAGAAAGTGCGGCGCTGGTTATCATCGACCGATCCCAGACTTACGGCGAATGTGGAGGAAGCCTCAATGTTCTCTGTACCCTTCTGTGATTTGCTCTCCGTAATGCTTTCGCTGTCAAAGGTCATATTTAAGGGAGTTGGAGAAATCTCGCTCATGGGCAAGGTTTCGTTGAGGTCCTGCTTCTGCGGACTCGGTTGTGTTAACTCAAAGACTATCGCGGATTTGGCGATGACTCCGGCTTCGAAAACGCTTTCCTTGCGATTTGAAGAAGGTTCTACCACAGCTTCTTCCAAATAGGGCATTTCCTTTTGCTCAGGCGGAGCATGGGGTGAGCGTGGAAAGTGGGACTGTTTTTCAGCGGGTTCGCTGATGGGGAAACTAGGCGAAGTGGGTTGTGGAAGGCTTGCAGTGCTTCTATTTCCATCCAGATCCAAGGAGAGATGCGTCGTGGATCTCAGCTGCGTTGGTGTGACTGCCGCAACGAGCGTGCGACCGTGGGATAGCTTTTTTACTCCCACCTTCTCACCCGTCGGGACATCATCAGGCAAGGGTAACTCCCTCAGAGCCAGGAACTCTAGTTCCTCCGCTGTCTTTGGGCGATGTGTAGGTATGGGCGGAGAAAGGGGCAGGTCCTTGCTTTCGGTTTGAAGTGTCGGCAAGGGCAAGGTCAGCGCTGCTGGGACAGATTCTACCGGTATCTCTATTTCATCCATTTTCAATGGACTTTCTATGCCTGCAGTTTTATTATCCATTTTATTATCTTGAAAATCCTTATCATTTTTCCCGCAGAGTTTTAAGAAAGATTTGCTTGGAGCGGGAGAATGAGCATTATTTTGCTCCTGACGAGATGAGGCAAGCATTATGGTCTCATCCACTCTCATGGAGTCATCCACTTCCATGTGCTCAAGCTCCTCCACAGTCCTGTCTTCAGTTGCCTCTATAGCTGGGGATGCATTTTGCTCAAGGTTGATGGCAGTGCATGTTCTTTCCGGTGATTCTACTGCAACTGAAAATTTCTCTTGATTAAGGTATTCCAGAGGATTTTGTGCGTTCCTCATCTGTGCACTACAGATCGGGTGGTGGTCCTCTTTCTGAAACACATCTTCTGTATCCTTTTGCTTTTCCTCATGATGCTTAGCTAAGTCATTCGCAGAGTCCAAGGCAGTTAAGGCGAGCTCCGGCTCAGGTAATGGCGTACCAGACTCCTCAGGCAATACTGATTCTATTAATGGAGGCTCCTTTGCATCACTATTGGATCCAGGGTGTTTAGCTAACTGATCTTGATCTATTTTTTGCTCCTGATTTTGATTATACTGCTCAGAATTTTCTTTTTTTGACTGGGATACGCTGAGAATATGCGTTTGCATAAGATGATGGTCTTCAGATTCCAAAACGTCCTTTAACATTTCCATGGTTTCGTTTATTTCATCCACATCCATTGCTTCATAGCTGTCGTTGTTGTGCTGGCTAACTTGCAAAGGATCTTTGAATTCTGCTTCCAGTGCAGAAACTGAGCTCATGGACAGCTGCTGCTCCAAAACATCATTAAGGGCACTTGAATAGGCCTCTAACTCCGATCGATCTCCGGTATAGCGCTCACTATGAAGCGATAAACACTCGACAAAAACATCCGAGTCAGAATGGTTGGATTTCAGTTGAGCTAAGGGCGGAATAAAGGCGATAAATTAATTAGTTTCAATAAAAATACATATCCGCTTTATATATAGAAAATTATTCATAAAACAAGATAGAATGCTAAAGTCGAGTGTCCCGACTATCAGATACCCGTTACTCAGCTAGTGGAAGTGCGAACGAGAAAATTCATAATTTTCTGATATATCGGTAATGCTTAATCTTATTATTCTAGCTTTTGTAGTTCCTGAGATCGAGGCGTTCATACGGACAGACGGACATGACCAGTTCGACTCGGCTATTGATCCTGATCAAGAATATCGATTATACTTTATATGGTCGGAAACGGTTCCTTCTGCCTGTTACATACTTTTCAACGAATCTAGTATACCCTATTACTCTACGAGTAACAATTATGAGGTTTCATAACGAGACCGACTCAGAAATGTATCCCTTCCATTATATAAATGCTGGTATTCAAATGTAAGATAACATTCCGCTTTTCGGGCGGATTTCTTATTGAAATCTTACGTACATAAATACCACCTGAAAAGTTTTCTGTGTTACACAAACTAGTTTTACTCACTGTCTATATCGGTACTTAAAGGAGCCAGTTCCGGTATTTGCGTCTCATCGAACTCGGGAAGACCTCCAAATTTTGGAACCATGTCCGCGTCTAGCTGAAGACCACCGGCTACCGCCGTTTGATGTCCCAGAGCTGCCGCCATTGCCTTCTGTTGCTCCATGCTCGTCGGCTTGGGAATGGGCTTCACCGCCAGCGGACTCAGCTGCCAAGCGAGAGATGCGAAAATGTAAGAAAATAATTTACGAGGTGTACATTGCGATCATGATTCGAATAGTTAAAAACAAAAATTGGCATAACCCAAACAGTTGGGAAATGAAAAACGTAAACAACCGATGATGGGTTTGGGTTTTAAAGAGGATTGAGACTAGCAGCTGGTTGGTCATTTAATTAAGAATTTTTGACACATTGAATAAAGGAAAGACAAAGCAACACGCTGTTGACGTAAATAAAGCGCATTTGGGCTGAACGTGGTCTTCCCTTTGCCAAGAATGTATACAATGGCATAGGACCCTGCCATATTTATTTAGTATCTGATACAAAAGTACATTTTTCTTTAAATTATGATGTCAATTTAAAAAACTTCAATCTCATCTATAGATCGAATGGCAAGCTAGATACTTTTTATTCTCGCTAAAAAAAAAGGTCAAACAGTTGAAATGTTTGTCCCAGTTGGTCAGTCGACAAGCAAATGTCATTAATATAAAAGTCGACCAAGGCGTAAATCGGGTACATGGGAGGCACAAAAGGTGGGGAGATGGACGTGGAACTGGGTCGGCATGAGCTTTTGTGCAGTGCGAAATAAACATGCTGCGAATGCTTTTTGCCTATTCAGTTTTGGGAGCATCGTTCTACACGGGAATTTAATTAGAGCGCATTATAATGGGCGCTCCAAGGTTAAAGTCAACGAAGAATAAGGGGCCCGGAAAATGAGCGGGTCATTAAATATTGGAATGGTGGAAAAAAAAGGTAAAGTTTACCTGGTTGCCAATTCTTTATAAGTGAAGACGATTAAAATATATTAATTTTTTGACAATGCGCACAAGTCTTGGAAAACAGTTTCTAGTGAAATAATTATCAAAACAAATGCTAGATACAACGCCATTTAAAATAATAATAAGTGTTTCTGCAACGCAATAAGTTGACAAAACCAAATGGAACCAAATGGGACTGTATAATGCTTAAATGGGCAATTGGCACACAACTTTAGGACATTAAAAAATAACAATGTGTAAATTCTTATTCATGCTTATTCTTATTATAAGCATAATGCTATAATACCCCATGCACGGATGTACATTAAAATATTTATTACTAAGATAGTCATACATAGACATACCTCGCCACTCATGGCTTGCAAGTGCTCCATTTCGTTATCACTAACTTGGTTCAGATTGAAGTTTATTTCGCTTAGAAATTTCTGTATTGATTCTCTACTACTACTGGTGTCCTCGTGGGCTGGAAGTGGGCTCGAGATGGGTTCCATAATTAAATTACAGTGCTGTTCCTCCAGTCGCTGCAGATCCTCAGAGGCGGACTGTAGTAACGTGTCCAGGTGCGCGGATACAAGTGGAAGTCCTTCTTTATCCCTTGGTGTAGAACAATCATTAGTGGGACTAGCAGCTTCTAAGGCGTCCATTGTCGTTGGCTGATTGGTGGTGATGCCAGTGGTAGCGATGCTCTTTGGCCTTTTGATGATACTTGCGAGGAAGTCCATGCCGCTCTACGCACGATTAACTCCTGAGACGCGATACGGTTCACTTGGTTCCATAAACCATCGGATCTATAGAATTTCTTGGTTGGTCTTTAGTGTTTTTTCCCTTTTTTCTAGTTTCCGTTGTGACACAGATTTGGGCTCGCCTACTCGGAAAAATCTTTACCGTGATTTTTCGCTTTCTTATATTGGGTAATACCGCCGGGTTTCTCACGATCTGTTGTCGCGTGCGTTTCTCACTGCCTCCCGATCATGTCTGCCTTTAAAATCAATTTAAAAATATTTTCTTGTTCAATTTGCTTTGCTCTGCTCATCGTCACACATGCACAAATGTTTTAAGCACGGCGAGAGTGCGGGGGATCGACCCACCGAATGAGAGAACGAATAGTTTGAATGGCATTCCCACACCGATCCGAATGTTTTCGTATGTCTATATGTTTGGTTCATTCTAGCCCTCGCGGCGTTCTCCCCTTATCAGCACGGTCCTCTCTTCCTTTTATAATACTGTCATATGCTTTTCAGATGTTAGACGGCGGCTACCGTCACCTATATTCCGGAATATGGATTTCGTTTTTATTTCCTTAAATATTTGTTTGGAAGAATAATCCAATACGATCCGTGTGACTCAATTCCAAAAATAATACATTTTTAGGCACATAGTCTTGATTTTGTTCCGATAAGCTACTCTACATTTTTAAGCACCAACAAGGTTTCATCGACTATCAGATTCCCGTTACTCAGCTAGTGGAGGTACGAGAAATATAAGTTTCCCAGTTTTTATTGGCATATCGATAGAATTTGGCAAGACGGGCATACATAGCCAGATTGAATCGACTAGTGATCCTAAACATTAATTTTTATTCTTCCTCTGGTTGGAATTGGTATCCTTTTACTCTACGAGTAAATATAATGGGTTTTAAAAACACAAAGGGTAACACACACTTGCTCCATTTAAACACATTTCTTTAAGAACGCAGTTGTGTCCGCAATACATGAAATAAATTTTGGGGTCGTAGACATATATGAAATAATAATGGCAAGAGAGCGGGACCAAGATGACAACCTTTTTGACTGAAATGCAGTGAAAAACTGAAAAACTAGACAGACCTCAGCCGCAATTCAGACTGAAAGGCAGCAGTGAAAATGCAAAACACAGCAAATAAGGCGAAATACTTAAAGAAGGGGATAGAAAACTGGGGAATACGAAATAGGGCGACCGCCGACTGCTAATGAATGAAAATTTTCGCCAAATCAACTGGAGCAACTCGGAACCTACAACGTTTTGTAGACAGCATTAATTTTCTAATTTTCTAAGATTTTCGGGAGTCTTTTTTGCACAATGATTTCGTTAAAAGACCCTTAGTGTCAGTGCTCAAAAATAATAAATATGTCGGTTATGTTCATCACATTGTTTCCAGTGTAGTCCTGGTGGGTGCCAAATGACATGCAATCCCACAGCCATTGTTGCGCATCATGGCGCACTATCTACAAGTCGATTCGAACCGAAGAAGTGCTCCACATTGCCCAACGGCGGACTTTTCATGTCTAGCGAGAAAATGTAAGCGTTGAAACGGAATCCCACATGATGGAGCATGACGAGGTGGCAATAGTTACATAGATGTTGGCTCCAGCGGTAACCAAGCAGCGCGCGACAGGTGACAAGATATCACACGGCGCCCGGATCAGTGAGAACTCAAAAACAATGTAGAAAGTGTTGAACCATATAAGGCTTGAGTGGGGTCCAAATCTGAGACTGGTCACAAAAGAGTAAAATCATTTTAGAAAACATAACAGTGTGGGTCCCAGAAGGTTTGCTAGGGAGAAGAAATTCCATAAGTGAGTTTCAATAACTGTTGGCACAAGTGAGTTTAGTTTACAATGCACTTGTTGTTTAACATTAAGCGAGGGAAACTGTTCCTAGAAATGGAATTGGAACCTTAAACTGAAATTCGAATACTCAATGAATCACAGGAAAATAAAGGGAAACAAAATTGAGGAAGAGCGAACCACACACTGAACTAAAAATAGTCGAAAACAAATGTGGAAAAGGGTGGAAGCCATTTGTAGATGCTCTACAACGAGCATCTTCGGTGGCAAAAGGGGAGATGGAGTTGAATGACATTTATTCAAACTCAATATCCTTAAACGGGCGTTTTTCGCACTCTAAACTCCAATAGGCACTGCCACTTTGCATACGTTAACCGCCATCAGCTTTATCGGCCTTATCAGCGATCCACACTAGCATTTTTGTTTGGTAAGTGCACCATCTGGAGAGTGGAAATGTCAAAAGGCAGAATAAAGAAAAGTGCAAGTAATTTTTGATTTTCCCTAGGCATACCAGATTCCCTCGTCCGTCATCCGCCTCTATGGTAATTTTCCCAGTCGAGGTTCTGGATTTCCTTGTCTTCCCCGGCTTATTGCCCATTTTTGTGATTGCTACGGCAAATCGGGGAATCTGGACGCCTGGGATGGACAATGTCCGGCGGACACTGATGCACTGGAGAGCTCTCGTCCACGACAGCTGCCACAGAGCTAGTTAGAACCGCGAGTAATGGCAAATCATATGTACACATGTATATACGATGAACAATTGCGAATAAAGAAAACAGCAGAACAGCCTGCGATCGTAGCATGCCCACACGTTTTGTACATATGTACAAAGTACATAGTCACACACATTTGGATGTAAATGTGTCAGTTGTGCCGAAAGTGAGTGCATTGGTACATCGCACATGGTCGGTAGAACGGGACACGCCCCCGAGTCCAGCTATTAGCTTACCTTAATGCCGCCATCGTTTTTGTTGATCTCCCGCAGAATTCCGCGACCGCCAAATTCCATTCCAAGGCCATTCTCTGCTCCGTCGAATTCCATGGCATATGTGAGTCCTGGCAAGAAGCGCTCTTCTACAGTTTTGGCTTTATGTTTCGGGATAAAACTATTTTTTATGGCAATGTTCAGATGAGTGACGCGAATTATTTGCGTTGCTTTGATGAAAATGCCGCTACAATTTGAAGAAGCATAAGTGACAGTGTGACTGCACTGCCGACAGGGAAAAATACCACCGGGCAAATATACAATATACCAAAACATTTTGATTCTTATACATGCAATGTAATTAATCACATTATAGAATTGCAATTTATAACATTTCGATTACGAAATTTGATGGATCATAATGATATGAATGGATCATTTGATAATCATAATCATCTACAGTTTATAATTATCATATAATACAATTGTCACATGCACTTTTTGTGAAATTAATTTTATTTTGTGTGCCATTAAAATCCAAGTTTTTATTTTATGTTTTATTCAACGATGCGACTGCAGGTCAAAGTCGGACCAATAAAAATAAATGGAACAAAATAAACGAACAGTAATTTTTGGTATTATGGCCAATATCTCTGTTGTCCCAGAAGCCAAGGAAATACAATTTGTTACTTACACAAATAGTGTTTTATTTTATATTTCTTACACACATCACTCGAAGAGTTAAGTATAAAATTTAAAAGTGTAAAATGATTAGTCGCATACAAAAGTTCTCACGTTATTTTTTTGACATACAATTATTTTACATTTGACTAAGTAAATACGCTTTCCTTATACTAAAGCTAAATTTACACTTGAGACGCTGTATCGAGATATTGATATTGGGCATTTTGCAGCATCGGCTTATGCCTAATATTTTTGTATAGTCAAATGTAAGATCATGTTTTATTCCAATAAAATTGTATTTAAATTTTTGCTTGAGCTCAATATTAATTAAAGTATACCTTTACACTATTTCCCAATGTATCTTGTATAAAAATAGAAAAAGCTATAGAAAAGCTATACAGTTGCAAGTTTAAATAACAGTGAAAAAGTATACAAAAATATAACAAAATGTAAATTATATTAAGTTAAAAAATTAACCAAAAATATGGTAGGAAAAAATATTATAGAACTTTTCGGCCCAGATGAATTGATTTGAATCCAAAAGAAAAATACATTTAAACAAAACGACAATAATTTTTTTTTTTTCAAAATTCCAACTTTGTTTTTAAAATATAATTTAAGCTTATAATTATACCCTTCACTAATAATTTATTTTAATTTTAATACTTTCACTTCTCCTTTTCCTGAACCACCACATATAGTGGCACGTTATGGTGCGCTTAGTCACTACGTGTTCAACTCACCGTGTCCGTTGTCCGGTTGAACATCGAGATCTCCGGAACTTTATAAGCTACAAATATAATATTAAGCATGCAGAGTGGTGCCTACGCTGTGCTATTTTTTTGAGACATTGCCACGCCCACACTTTTAAAATTTGTTTAGTTTCAAGCCTGTAGAGAGAAGATATACTTTTTAAACTTTTTCTTGGTAGTACATACATACATATATGGTCACTACACATGGCGTCAAAGGGTTGTAAGCAATATATGTAACTGCTGTGGTGCTAGGTAATGCTAATGTGCTATCTCGGAAACAGACACTTTCCTAATTGAATTTTTTCATCTCCCTCGCAACCCTATAATCTGAGTAATGGGTATTCGATAATTGAGGAACTCGACTATAGCGTTCTCTCTTAATTAATATTAGAATTGATTGATGTAAAATTAGTGTCAGTAATGTTGATTCCACATAAAATTATTGTTATATATTGTTTATTGTTACACGCCTTTTAAGAAAAATACGGAACATTCTATAACACCAGTGCTACAATAATGTCACAATGTCCTTGGCCAAGTAACAGCAAATATGTGTATATTCTGTCTTATGTAAATTTAAATGTAAATATAAACACCTAAACATCTAAACAAAAACAAGATAGAATGTTATAGCCGAGTTCCCCGACTATCAGATACCTGTTACTTAGCTTCTGGAAGTGCTAACGAAAAATTTAAACATTTTCTGGAATATCGATAGAAATTGGGGAAAAATAATAAAATTAAAAAAACATAAACATTTTTTAGAAGTGTGGGCGTTAGAGTTTTGTGCGATTTGTGGGCATGGGCGTGGCAAAAAGTATATTAGGAAATCTATAGAAATTTACAAGATATAAAAAAAACTGAAAAGTTAGTGTGGGCGTGGCTACATCATTTAATAAACTTGCGTTGCGTCTATGTCTCTGGAAGCTGCATGCTTAATCTCAACTTTCTAGCTTCTACATTTCCTGAGATCTGGACGTTCATACGGACGGACAGATGGACGGATCGACTCGGCTATTGATCCTGATCAAGAATAGATATACTTTGCATGATCGAAAATGATACCTTTTACCTGTTACATACTCTTACATTACATTACTTTGGCACGCCCACATTTTTGAAAAATTGTTTGGCTTTTTTGTCTTGCTAATTTCTATCGATATGCCAAAAATGTTTTGACGCACAGTTTTGATATTTTTTTTCATTTTGTTATTATTCTTGCCCATTTCTAGAGATAGGCAAAAAAAATTTTATAATTTGTTGTTCGCACTCCCACTAGCTACATGGCTATTTGGGAGATATCTGTATATTTTTAAAATTTTAAAGATAAATCAATTCGTTTTTATTGTTATGCTTTATTAGAAAAATATTGCTCTTTTGCCATGTATAACATTTCCGTTCATGTGGTAACCAATATCAGATAACATTCAATAAGTTGCTAAGCGTATTTACTAGATGATGCAAATTTAAAAATAATATATATTTTATGCATTGTAGAGCCTGAAAACTACTAATTGATTTATATTAAATTTGCTTGGTAATTGATAATTGTAATATGTAACGGAAGTAAATCATTCAATGTGTAGGCTAATATTATTGTTGTTCTAATTAGTAATAATAGATTAAGGTAATTAATAAAAGTTGTCCATAATATATAATTATTGTGTAACTACGTCTTATGTCTTTTCATGAAATTCTCTCCAGGTGTTTACAACACAATCACGTAATGTGGAACCACAAGCCTTTAGAAGGATCACCATTTTAAGATGGTTTGTCTGTGCAGTGAGGTTCGATTCGGTACGTTTCTGATTTGGTTTAATAGTGACTGCTTAATACTGGGCTTTTGCCTTTTTCCCAAGATTTGCTCCACATCTGACTTACTTACTTATATGACTACTAATTATGGCTGCCGTAAAGCTTATCCAACACTGGATAGCCGTAAAGCTAAATAAACTAAGCCCTAAAACTAAAGGTAATGAATATAGGTATGGGCTTGGGTTTTGTTGGCGAGCTTATTTATCCATTTAAAATAGGTTGCTCGAGGATTCTATTCCACAGCTTTAAGCTTAAGTGTTGCCTACTTAGAAATGTACTTTTGTTTTCAAGTGCGCGAGGCTTTCTCATTTGAGCACTCCGATTTGGGATGAAGTTGAGGTACTAAAAAGTGCGAAAATTCTAGTTCTATCTTGACTCTTCGACTCTTCCCCTTAAAAAAGGTAGCCTTACAATAAGGGAGCCCCTATGCTAAATATGCGGGCTATAAGAATATACTGTTAACAAATTTTATAGACTATAGTTTACAAGTCACAGCGCCACCAAAATGAACCAGATCGCTGCTCTAGCTGTGAATTTAGCAATATCTTAACTTTGAACATCTGCTTCTTCACTTAAACATCTGATATATTATCATAAAGACTCCAATCCTGGGTAAGAAAGGCTCCTATACCTCAAGTCCAATGACATAGCTGATTTGTCAATGCAGACTTTCCGAAAGCTGTTCACATAGGTGGGCCATCCTCGATTATCTTGGTCGTCCAAATGCCGGGCATCAGTTGAGGAGGTAGATTCGATTGCGGCGTGCTTAGTTTTAAAATGGTGCTGTTCGAGTGGATGGTCTTCGGCGAGGTGGTGTAGTCCTTGTTGTCCATGCCGTCGATGATGGTGAACTGCGAGGTCATGTTTTGTGTTCCCTGTGCCGCAGGCGAGGCGGGTCTTAAGATGGGATGTGTCCTGGGACTGCTGATCAGGGAGGTGCACAGGCCACCGAGAATGGCCAGAGAGGCAAAGGCTGTCTGGGGAATGAGCTGGCCGAAGACCACTGTGGATCCAATAAAGGGCGCTCCCAGCAGCCAGAAGCGGGCCCAGCAAATTGTCGAGAAGGAAGTGATCTTCTTCTTGTCATCTGAAACCAGCTCCACCGTGCAGGTTGTCAGTATACTGAGCGTTGTGGAAATGGCCATTTTGGAGACCATGGCCGAGCACATCAGCAGGGCTACGTTCGGGTCCAGCCCAATTACGCTGGGCTTTGGAACCAGCCAGCCGCAGTAGGCAATGCATCCTGCCGCAATGTTAAAGAGTCCCGTCCACAGCCACTTGCGGGTGGTCTTCAGAATCAGGAAGAGCCCGAAGAAAGTGCCCATCATTTCGCTGAAGCCCGCAAAGAAGGTATTGATGTACAGGTGGTCGCGACTGAAGGAGCGGATGTTGAGCAGCATTCCGTAGTAGACCACGATGTAAAGCGACCAGGCCAGGTGCACGCACACAATGTGTCGCACCGCCCGTTCTCCCTTCCACATTGACCACCAGCCACTCGGCGGCGGAGCGTCCATGGCGGTCTGTGCCTGCAGCTCCAGCTGCTGGTCTATGTCGTGCGGCAGGTTGTAGCCCGTCCCATTCACCTCCACGCACTCCAGCAGGATCTTCTTGGCGTCCTGGGTACGTCCGCGGGCGATCAGCCATCGCGGCGAGTCGGGAATCCACCTGCAAAAGCGAAGCAAGATGCAAGAGTCACTACGTGGCAACAAGTTTTTTGGCAAATCGATAGAAGTCTACAATACTAATATCAAAACGCTTTTCAAAAGTGTGGGCGTGGCACTTTTCGGCGGCTCCCTGTAGTCTGCATGCCTTATATCAACTTTCAAGCTGTTTGAGTTCCAGAGATCTCTACGTTCATACGGACGGACCGACTCGTCTGTTGATTATGATCAAGAATCTATATACTTTATGAAAAGCACATGCCTGACAGTGCGTCCGATTTGTGGGTATGAGATGGTTCCTCTTTTGAAACACATTTGCGCTGCCTCGATGGCACTAGAATCTACATGCCTAGTCCCAACAGACAGACACACAGACGGACGTGTTCCCGATAGAGAATATATTATAGGTTCGAAAGCACTTGTAATGCGTTAATTATGCGAATCTCAGATACCCTTTAACTGTACTTTCGATTACTTACTGCCACAGATAGATTAGTATCACAGTTGGCCACGAGATGGCCATGTAGAGGTGGGACCAGCTGGACCAGAAGCTGGCCACTCCGGGCAACATCATTACCCCTATAGACCAGAACTGCTCGAACAGCGTGGAGACGCACGTTCGGTACTTTCCCCCCGTAATGTCGGCCACTGCAGGGAGAAAACAATTTAAAATCCATTAGACATTACCACTTATACGAGTATACAAACTAAGTCAGGCCACTTACTGATTTGGCCTCCGGCCGTGTACATCTGGGCACAGCATACGGCGGAGAGACACCGGAAGAACACGTGGAGCTCGTAGGAAGCCACGTGCCCCGTGAGGTTGCCACAAAATATCTGTGTGATCATGCCGAAGAGCATCACATTTCGGGGGCTGAAACTAAACGGGGAAAAGGGAAATATAGAAACACAAATCTTTTCATTTTTGTAGTTCATATCTTTTAGCTCAGACTGCTGTTCATCAGAGAGAGTTTTTCCCGTATCCTAGGAATAGGTCGTATTTATGGGTGACTTTATAAGGGTGATTAAGGGATTACGGGTGTTTTTTATGCACTATATCTTTGGCAACACTGGTTTAAACAGCTCACAACGTTTCATGTTTTGTTTCACTGCCAAACGTCTTAGGTTTGGTCTATAAATTAACTATGAATCGCCTTGCAAACGAACAACACTTGCAAATTTATTATGGTGACCGCTACCGCGAGGTGATATCCAATTTTTTGTGGCCCAAAATGCAATAGCTTGACTTGCATGCCACATGCAACACAGCACGCACATTTGAGGCGCAGTCACGGTCGACATTTGCATGAAATAATGTTCAAACACTAAATTATGTGGACCGCACTATCGATTCAAGTAAAGATTTCATGAACTTCTTGAACTGTGTGTTTTTTTTATCTTCCTTCCTAGAGATCTTAGAAAATCACATATCAGAAGGACGCGATTCCGACTAATTAGGGGCTTGTATTCGACATTGGGGAAGTGTCCATGTGAACCCGTACTTACTATTTCAGCAGCTGGTTTGCAAGGATGCCGCCGGTGAGCACGCCGAAGAGGTGGAAGAACTGGGTGACGGATACGAGAATGTCCCGGGAGCACACCAGATCGTACTGCGTGACCACCGAGTGGTAGTCGGACTCGTGCTGGAACTCCGTGCAGGGGATTACGTTGGAATTGCGGTTCAGGGGCTTCTCCCACACGCGCGGCTCCTGGTCACTGTTCTCGTAGTTGTAGTAGTGATGGGCGTGCTGCTGGGCATCCTGGTAGACATTGCAGAAGTCAATGCTGAACTCCTGGTCGTCGCTCTCCTCCTTCTGCGGATGCGAGACCTTGATCCACTGCGTTTGGTTCTGGGCTCCGATTGTGTTGGGCGGCTTGCAAAAGAACTCGCCGTGCCTCGGCGCTGGTGCCGTGAAAATGATACAGGCCATGAACCAGGACGACGGAATCTTGCACAGGAAGATCAGTAGCACCGTTCGCAGCTGCCACCTTCCCCACGGACCCGTGATCCGGCCCACCGCATCCACTTTGGTCTGCATCTTGGTGTTCGGCTTGGGGGACTTTCCCTCCAATCGAGCGAAGGTGTCGTTGGGATAGAGCTGATACTCGTGCTGGCGATTGTGGGTGCGAATGTCCTTGCAGATTGTGGTCCCCCCGTGATTGTGGTTGCTGCTGGTGCTGTTGTTGTTGTTGGTCTCTCCTTCCGGAGCCTCGCACTTGGCCTGCTCGTTGGACGGGGCAGTGGTTGGTAGGTGGAGGTCACCAGCAAAGGTGCCGAAGTGGGGTGACCTACTGGTTGATATGTGCGACGAGCTGTGGACTTGTTGACTTGGGGGCGATGGCCCGTCGTCCTTCAGGGGCAGTAAAGGGGACTCCGCCTGCGTAAGAAACAATAGGAAGTAAATTCAATTCGAGTTTTTGGAGCTTAATTTTTTTTTTTTTTTTTTTTTTTTTTTTTAGTGTAAATTAGGTGGCTGTAGGTTATTCCATTGCGTAAGGCTTCCAATTGCTTAAGGTCAACTAACTGTGCCTAAATTGCGTTGAGTTTTCTATTTTCTAGACTTTTCTATAGATAAATTATTTAATTTATTATTAAATGATTAAATGATCATCGTTTCAAATTTTTACTCAAATTTTCAAAATATAATGGTTTCCTAGTATAGTTACTTTAATAAACGCATTCCGTTTATTTGTGATTTCATTGTGATTTCATTATGATTGTGTTGCATCATATGCCCTATTTAAGTAGTGGATTTATTCAAGATTTATTTTCAGGCATTATATATAATTATTGAGCTTAATACAAAGCTTAGTTGCTTCGAAAGCAACTGCCTTTAATGGGCCAGACAGATTGGGTCCTCATCCGTTGAAATCCAGGCAAATGATATCGAGAACCGTGATTTCCGGGGCTAATAAGTCAACAAAGCGGCATTCCCCGATAATTCAGAGTGTCCTTGGGGAACTGGAGTTCAGCAATTACTGCTCCTGAGTGCCTGGGTCCCACATAATGCCCACACCCACTTTCTCGCTGCAGTTGGGAATATAATGAACATAAATTGCAGCGCCAAGTGGACCTTTCTCCACATAGTAATTTTATGTACCAAGAAAGGCAATGTGGCCTTCTGTGGGAATATATATAGGAGTCCTCTTCCTATTCTATAAATGGATCTAATTAAATTCTATGGTTGTTATTTATATTTATTCTGTGCCTTCTGACAGGCAAGTGTCCTTCATCACGAAACTAGCATATCCAAACCTTAAAAAGCCTTAAGAAGCAAAAAAATAGGTGAACTTACATTTTAAATTGTCCAACAACATATTTTCAGCCCAAGTTTATTTAAAGCCTATTATTAAAAATTAGTCTCCCCTAATTAAATGCCATCATGATTTGTATTTGCCAGACCAGAAAAAAATCAGATCAAAGGAAAGTAAAAGCCCTCTAACCATTTGTTACTTCCCATTTTGTGTTGAGACATTTGGATGACAAACAACCCAAGCCACCCAACTGGGTATGTTATTCAATCCGAGGGTTTTTGGCTGGTCGCCCCTTTTTTACCAGCCGTATTTGTCGTCATTTAGTTTTGTTTTCGCGTGTTGTCATCCTTAAAAGCGCCCTTTATATTCATGGACTGTGCCAAAGTAAGTTGAAGTATCGAAAGTCAGAAGGGTCCTCAAGAATTCATTGCCAACTGTGACCTTCAGATGCAAAATCCCAGGCAGCTGAGGAGAGGATTCGGATGGCTGAAGGTTCGGATACTCGGATTATGCATAATGCAGATACAAATCTGAAGAACTCGCTAGGCTGTACACCCTCAAGTATGCAATCATTTATTAGTTTCAGGCTTCTGTTTTATGGTTTTCTGTCTAGTTTTATGCGGCAATCAAATGAATTCGTTTTGTATCTTTATTTTTTCCTTTTTTGGTTTATTTTTGTTTTTTGACTGCCAGCAGCTGGACAAATAGCGCCAAGGTTAAAGTCGATTGTCTGCGGCATATATATATTTTTTTATATTTTTATCAGTATTGGGCTGGAAGTGGTTCGAGGTAAGTTCAATTTTATGCGTCACGTGACGAATGCTTTACTAGGCTGACTATCAAGGTGGTTCACTTATGTAATTGCCAAAATTGTTTACATTTTCAGCGCATCATTGGATGGTATCAGAGGACTGTGTCCTGAAATCGATTTTTTAAAAAACCACAAGAAACAAAAATCCAGCGATAATTTATTCACAAGGCGCAGCCGCTGTACACAGAAGCGCGGAAGGAATCTCCGCGTGGTCCTTGCCAGATGACTGATGGAACGACCAAAGCTCGCCCAGATTGCCCCTCCCTGAGACATAATTAGAGAAATTTCCCGCAGTCACCATAAATCTGCTTCGTGCTGCACAATTTGCTGCCCACAACGTATCCCAATTATCTGCTAGATGGAGGAGCACTTAGGTGCCCAACTAGTCGGCAAATTGTTTTTATTTAAGCCCGTGCTTATTTTCTCTCCATCACCTCCTGAATATTTCATTAACTTATTTATTGCTCTGCCCTGTTCAATTGAGAACGCTCCCCAGCGGAGTGGGGATTCTGGGGTATGAATATATATATCTATATGATATGTCTATTTGTAATTGAAACAAAGCGAGGGCTGAGTTTCCTTCTGTCGGAAACATATTTATATTCATTAAAAACCAGAAATAAAAACAAAATTAGTTAAGTTTGTTGTTTATTGGGATAACAAGAGGGGCAGCACTTAAGCTTGAATAGAGACATGGCCAAGTTTGTTAAGTTAGAAAAGGCTTCAGGTGAAGGCCGAAAGAAACACGGCTGCTTTTACCTTTAGTTGCTTTATCGGTTACCACTGGTCCCGCCTAATGATTACTTATTCTTAGGCCTGGGCTGAGAATCTCCAGGAAACGACAACTTCTGGCTGCCCCCGACCCCCAGGCGCCCCATACACGTGGCCATTGTGTTGCAAGTGTGCTGCTTTTTCTTGGTGGCAGGTTGACAGATGGGCGCCACAGTTAATTGGAGCTCTGCCGAGCAACAGTGTTTTGGTGAGATTGCTGTATTGTGCCTTCTGGCAAACAGGTGGGACAATGACTGAGTGATGGAGTGGCTGGTTGGCTGGATGGGGCGATGTATTAATGTCTGCCTTTCCTGTTAACACAGGTTCCTTTCGAAATCCGTTGACCTCCAGCTGCTGCGCCGCCTGATGTGATCGTGTTTCTGGCACTTCTTGTTGTCCAAATATTGTAAATGAATCGATGAGTTCCCGCTGGGCCCGCCTAAGGATTAAAGCCCACTCAGTACGTTTTTCGAATTATTAGTGAGGCTCCAGCGAAAAGTATAGTGGTTAGCTAAAAAATCCCAGCCCCCAGTCGGGGAAAATGAGCAACCTAATGTCCGAAAATAGATGCCCACTTAATAGGAGTGGCTAGTCCAATTGGCTTCTGGCTGGAGACATGCAACGGAGTTTCAGGGCTCCCAAACCTGTTGCCGCCAATATGAGCTATTTGAATTAGCGTAGTCACGACATCGTGACCAGACGCAGAGCCAGACTTGTACTAGCATAAATATTTGATGAGTTGCGCCTGCCTCTGGCCGCCGAGTGGCCGGAATGGGCCAAAAGCTACGGAATACTGGACCCAGGCCACATTGCCGAGCTGGAGCGTGAAATAATATATATTGATGGATTACGGGGTGCCCTTCTGAATGCCTTCCATTGCGAGCTGTCGAAACAATTTGGCGCAGAGTGGTGTATGCGTTGTGAATTGCATATTGTTTTTATGCCCACATCTGGGGCGTGTGCGCTTTATGGCATATTGAAGGATTCGAGGAGCTCCCTCGAGGAGCTGGCACTAGACCATATATATCAACAGCACCCCTTGATTATTGGCTTAATGGCTTCGTTTACTGCCAGTCCATAAACTGTTTGAATGTTATTTAAGTTGGCAGCGCCTTCTGTTTAGTCAATTGCTTTCTAACTTCCCTCATTGCTGCAGAATAGTGAGTCTAGAAGTTTTTAGGTGAGTAACTAAAAGTCGAAATGAAATTTCGTTAAGGCGATTATATCAATTCAATTGCAACTGGCCACGTGACACAATATTTCTTTGGGAAATACAAGACTCCAGCTTTTTACTTCAAAGAACTGAAAAACATTGTTCATGTGTCCTACAAGCCCGCCAATTTCTGGCACGATTTATGACGCTTCCTTTTCGCGTTTGTCTCTGATTTATGGACACCAGCAATTGAATTTGACAACTCTCCCGCTGCAAACGGGAAAGTTCCCCTCAAAGTCTGGCTTCCTGGGGACTGGGATCAACTCGAATCGCATACATAAGAGCCCTGAAATTACAGGCTTTCCCTGATTCAACCGAATTGCTCACATTCCTGGGAGGCTCAGATGAAGGATACGCATACGCAGGATACAGTTTGTAAGGGGTTGATTCCTTTTTACTTCCTCCTACAATCCATCAATGCTTCGATTACTTTGAAATCTTTACACTGTTTGCCTGCGCAGCTCAGTTCAGATTGGTGTGTATGATTTGGTGACAGGGAAAATCAGCTTTTGACAGAGGAATAAACAGCATTCAGCTTTTAAAGCGTTCTTGTGTGGATTTTCATGGGAATAAATAAATTGGGGTATTATTCACATGGGTAAGGTGTTTCGTGGGAACATTTTTTGATTGGAAAGAACTCATAAAGCCGGAAATTATTATGGTGCCTGCTTCATTTATTTCCTTTTGTTCCTGAATTAAAGTTAATATATCAATTAATTGCAAGGACTAGACCCATTTACCAAGCAATTTAAAGATAGATGCATTTGGGGAACTTGTGGAGCAAGTATCATACTCGTAGATACGCGTTTTTCCGACCAAGTAGTAAACTAACATTTTGCCACCATTTAATGAGCGCCACTAAGCTGCTTTCGCTGGAAGGGAGACCCATAATAAGCCTAAATAGGGCTAGACCATAAATTTAGTTGGCCTTGGCCAATGACTGGGCGGCCAGCCAAGGCGTCCTTAAACTCGAAATCGAAAACGGAAATCGAAATCGGGCGGAGGTGGCTAAAGAAAGGATGAAACCCAAATTAGGGCAGGATAGATGCGTTCTGATCCGAAATAGGATGGCGTTTGTTGGTCATTGGTCTGCATTCACAGCTAAAGTTGAACGACACCCTTAAAGGCGGGATAATAAGGCTATAATATACCCCGTTTTAGACCGTTATTTTTGTAGGGAGACACTAGCTTCCGCTTCGGAACCCTGAAGTCATAATTGCCTGGGGTAACGCCCCACTCATCAGGGCAGCCCCAATCAAACGCACTGGGCGGCTACTTCCTTAGTGTATTTACACAAGTGTCTAGTCTTTTGTTTTGGGTGCTCAACTGGTTTCCGTGGCTGTGTTTTTCCCGTATTGGCTGTAATTGCGGCAATTATTTGTTCTGTTCTTTCCACAAATAACACTCAGGAAATCGTGCAGACAGGTAAAGGACTCTGAACCTGTAGGTTATCCCAAGCAAACCTGACAAGGAGAAGAGATGCAAAAAGTGGCTAGTACCTATCCTTTCTATGAACGCTCTAAATAATTTTGTAATTGTTTTCCCTTCAGTCCACAAAGCAGCCAACAATACCGCTGATTATTGAGCATTTCGAATAAAAAGGAAAATGAAAGGAAACACTCTAAGTCCCGGGAAATTGTGCGTCTAAGAGTAAAAGTTCTCGAGATGAAATTGAAAAGCATAATGGCATCCCAGGCGCCTGAAAAGTTCATGAGCAGCCCTTGTGTACCTCGCCTGTGCGTTCTATGACCCTTTTCCACCAGCTGCCCCTGGTTGCCCATGGACCTTACCTTCCCAAACTCATCCCAGCCCCATTACTTGGACACGAAGCTTGGGACACTTTACTTATGGAAGTGCGGCGGGCTCCAATCAAAAACGCAATTATAATCAGCCGACAGTCGCGCTTAGAGAAAGCCTTTTCTGCTCAACATTTAAATAAATTAGGAACTTTTTGCAGATATAAAAAAAACTGCAGGCGGTAGGCTGTTTCCCACAAGTGATGGGCGTTCCCTTTGACCTTGGCGAATCCTGGGGAATCCTGACCTCCTAAACGTGCAGAAACCGGACCCAAAAATTGCACCCAGACGATCCTTAAACAGGAGAAGATTATTTTATTTGTGTGTATGTATTAAAGGGGTATTCTGCCAATTGAAAAATGAGCAGTCAAGTGGGAGTCAACTAGACACAACACAACTAGTAAATATGTTCAGTATTATTGAATCATTTGGAGATACTCAACGCTCTATACGAAACCCCGTAATGATGCAAGCATTTCATTTATATCCAGCGCAGTTTGCTAATTTAACCACCATTTTGGCTGAGTGTCTATATATAAGGGCTTTTATTTGGGCAACTAGGACTGGTGAATTTATGCATTTTTGGGAACGTTTCCTGCGAAAAACCATGAAACGGCAACCGACGCAACCAGGACCATGTAAGTAAGATCCATTTCTAATTGATGTGTAGAATGTTCATTAGCTAGAAGACGAGTCTATAAAATGCAAATGAAGTATCTGTCCGCCCTGTGAAAATTGGCTTGTTTGCATGCGGGATTTCGAGCGATTGAGCAAGTTAACCCAGACGCAGCTGGGATGGGAAAATGTGTCCAATTGAGACATGCGCCTGTGTATTCGACCTTAAAAAACAAATTGAAAACTCTGCTGACTGCGCCGGAGCAAAACTCGCGTGTCTGTGTGGAGGAAATAACCTGAAGTGTGGCTAATTGGAAAGGTTCCGAGCAGCAGTAGAGTGGTGCAAGGGGATCCAACAAACAGCATCAGTCTGGTCGAATTGGGAGGCTTACTAATGGACAGAGGATCCTACACTTTTATAACATAGTAGGACACAGTTTTCTTGCCCTAAAAAATGTCAAACAATTTGTTTTCATGTCTTACAATTTAATTTCAACCACAAGGAAGCCTGCTAAGGCGAAGTAAATAAATTTATCAACGACATTCCTGCAAAAGCAATTTGGTATTCTTTTCCTGACACGAGTAGAGTCCTGTTGGACTGATTTGCATAAGACTGTGGAAAATAAAATGCGAAGACAAAATTTACATAATCTGGGCAGAATGTGGAACACACTTCTCCGACTTTCACGCTTATCGCATTCCCATGCTAAGCAGTGCGTGCTCAGCTTCTTCTACTTGTTTCCCGAAGTCAATACGCACGTGTGGCAGACTCACTAATGAGTGGGGCACCCCGGCGAAAGCCACCTGGCGGCAGCGGAATGGAACTGAACGTGAGGACTGGAAACTTAGCTTCCGCAAGCCAGACTGTCTTATGTCACCGGTAGCTTATTTTAATTAAAGTCCTGCCACTGAAAACGCCAGGGGAGCGACTCCCATAAATGTGAAATATCTGCTGATGGCGGCCCAGTGATATCTTATTCAGCAAAAACAAGGCGCCTCGGAGGAAAGCATTCGCCAGAAGTTTGTTTACTAAAGAAAGGCTGGCCAAAATGGACATTTGCCTCATTTGGTTAGTGGCTTCGTATATTTGCTCCTTCACTCCTTCACTCCTAATCCCTAATACCCTAATATCCATATTCGCACTCGAAGGAATCGCCAGCGAAAGCGCTTCTATACCCGTTACTCGTAGAGTAAAGGGGTATACTAGACTCGTTGAAAAGTACGTAACAGGCAGAAGGAAGCGTTTCCGACCTTATAAAGTAGAGTCTGTCGTATGAACGCCTCGATCTCAGGAACTACAAAAGCTAGAATAAGGAGATTAAGCCCACAAGCCGCCCAAAACTATCACGCCCACACTCTTGAGAAAATTTTACATTTTGTTTCTCTTTTTAAAGGTTTTTTTTTCAATTTTCACCGATATTCCAGAATATTATGAAATTTCTCGTTCGCACGCACTTGCACTAGCTGAGTAAGGGGTATCTGATAGTCGTATCTGATAGTGGAACGCGACTATACCATTCTATCTTATATAGACGCTCGTCGCGTCTGTGAATGATTGCTTGAACATTTGAATGGACTTCGTCATTGTTTAAGTCCAGGCAGACAAAATGGACAGGACGTCGGAGTTCGGAACTTTCCGCGTGTGTGTAATGTTGGGGTGGCTCAAACTTGCGAGTGACGGTTAAGTGTACGGTCATATGCACATATGCATATTTTCTGGTGTCTGCTTACATGATTTGAGCAAATCGTGACCTGATTGAATAGAAACTAAAAGTAGTTGGGACTACAGTTGTGTATTACCCAAAAAAGTAAGCTGACGAACTAGCAAGAGGTTAGCAGTTTTAACGTCAAGGATGAAATAGCGACTATAAACCAGGGTACTAGATAATACTCTTCAGATAATAATGATAATTTTAGGTAATGCTTTTTCAGCCCCATGGTGCCTTTTCCGCCCCCACAAATTAACCTACTCCAACTAAAGTCCCCGCTCATCGCAGTCGCACGCACAATTTGCTCTTGGATATCTGATTGCGGCAGAGGGTTAATTATAAGCATAAAATTACGCATGCATATGCTGCCAAAACGCCCAGCGAAGCCACTCGACTGCTTGGGGGTATGTACCGTAGATTCATCGCCATCGTCGTCCTCATCCTCATCCTCATCATCATCATCATCATCATCCCCATCCTCGTCGGCAGCCCCTTCGCCGCTGCTCCTGTTTTGGGCATTGGCCTCATCGCTGCCCGTCGCCAACTTCTCACTGCTCGCACTGCCAATTCCGCTGGAGGAGTCGCTCGAGTGAAGTCCGCTGACTAGCACTGGACCACTGCCACTGTTGTAGCCACCGGAGCCACTTCCTTTGCCGATTGCACTGCTGCCAGTGTCAGCCAGTGTGAGCATAATGGGTCCGAAACCGGTGGAATTCGCGAGGGTTGCTCGCTGAGTTTTGGGTCTTAGATCATTTGTTCACTTCGATTTGTTCACTTCCTTACACACTTTATAATCGGTTAGAACCGCTGCGAGCTCGTGTTATTTTGCTAGTTATTCCGAATTGTTATCAAACGAGGTGCGGCTTTAGTGGCAATCAGCTCATGGAACAGTAGGATTGTAAGGAAGAGCATGTACACAATATTGTTTGGCTGAGCAAAGTTATGAATTAATAATGGGCTTTATTTTTCCCTCCACACTAGTCGATTGATGCGACTTTAGCATTCAATTCGAAGTACATGTATGTATGTATATAACAAAGGTACAAATCTCGGCCCGCTCGAGCAATGCAAATGACAAATAGAATGCCAAAAACTGCGTCCGCGATACAAAGTGAGTCGATGGGTGCAGGCGTTCGCCCAACGCGCAACTGATTTGCTGAAAAGCGGTGGAAAGCTCCGCCAGCTGGAGTTCGGTTTTCCAGCCACGAAGCGAAAGTGAAAACGAAAGCAGAAGCAGAAGCAGAAGCAGAAGCTTTCTCCGCTGCCGCCGCAACTTCAGTGGAAGCTCGTTCCGCAGCAGGACTCTAGTGGAGTCGGTCACGTGTTGGGTAATTTCACTTTCGTTGTCCTTTGGCCAAGGGCCCCATGAATCCGGGCGAAACTGGAGCCAGAGCTTTGGGCACAGGGTGCTCGGTAGCCGACCTGGCCGAGCAGCTGTTGCTCCACTCCCCTGCGGATTACTCCCATCTCAAGGTTGAAAGCTGCCGCGGAAGGACTTGCGAACAGGAGCCCCTCAATGCGCCCATTTTATTTGCACATACATTTCAGTTAGCGCAATTGGGAGGCTATAAACGCTCGACAAATTAAATATAAATATTCCACCAATTGACTTTATTAATTTGTGATTAATTGGTGGGGACAGCCTAACTGCTGACGCACGTGATACTGCGTGCCTGTCACTATTTCCCCACAAAAATGGTAATAAAAGCATTAAATATCAAACTTGTTAAATGGCGGTAAATTAAACAGACCGCCTTCTGGGGGACATCATCTCTAGTTTTGCTGGATGAAGCCATTATGATAGCCTTATTATTTTTACTTCAAGCTGATCAGCCGAAAAGAGGCGGCAATGTGTATTTAAAATATGCCTCGTAAAGCAGACCAACTTGCTCCTAAAATCACGGAAGCTGCAGTTTTCCCAATCCCATTGACATGTTCTATTAGTAAGCGTTTGCTACCCAAGTGCCGAGCTGTGAAATCGCTTACAGCTCGTACAATGTTGGTGTCACACACTTGTGAACTTTTGTATCGCTTGTTTGCTCACAAGTTCAACTCGACAGCCGCCCGCCCCCAAGAAAATGTTGCATGAACAATGGATTGCTGGGGAGGGGTTTTTGGAGGCAGGGGATGCACTCAGCACGCGTGTGCCTTCATTCCAAGGAAGCATGCGAATGGCACGAGCAGCAAACAAATTAGCCAGAAAGTTCCTTTTCGTCGCTTTTCGGGGGATGTTGCGTTTATTCCGCATACGCCGTGTGGCACGAATTACATTGGCAATACGAAAAGTTTTCTTTCGCGCATGTAAGCATTTAATGGAAAATATGCGGAAAAGTTAAGTGAGTTTGGAAGTTTTGGGGGCGGGATATAAACATAATTAGCATATATTAGCAAATAAATATATTAATAATGTACTAATATAATACATTAAATATTATCATATCATATTTATATGAATATTAATATATTATTAAAATAATGGAAAATTGTAGGCGAATTGTTTTCTTTATTTATATGCCTGTACTTTCAATGGGAATTCTCAGAGGCACTTTAAAAATCAACAGATAAACAGATTAATATTCAATTGAGATAGTTAAATGAGATATAGAGTGCTATTGCACAAGTGCACTACTAAAAATTTAAATTAAATTTGAATTTATTTGTGTTGAGTTCGTTGAACCAGTTTGAACATCCTTGTAGGTTCAGTGTATGTAGGTTTGGTGGTTCAAACTCCATACGAGTGTGTACGTTATGATTAGCTAAGATAGGGTGTACTTCTTATAAATCACCTGAACGTTGAGCATCACGATTTTAATCTCAAGCCGATCAATGAGGGGACTCTTGCGAAGGCCATCCGCCGATTTCGAAGCAGATCCCTCCATGAAACTGGGTGTGTTCCCATTGGATCCCATCAAACTAGCGTCGGGATGGATGAAGCTCATTTTGGCATTTTCTTGGCACCTGGTAACTCAGAAGGAACTATTCAGCTGCGATCTCATGCTGCTGCGTCGATTTAGTTGTGTAATTTCATTTTATATAATCACGGCACCGACGAGCAATGTCTGTCAATAAATCAAATAGACCGAGTTCTTTTTTTTTGGCGGGCAAACAATTGGGAGTTGGGGAATCCGAAGTGCTTATTATTTGTGGACTGTTATCCAAGCGGGTCGCAACCCAACGGGTCGCCTACGAGGCGATCCAATTCAACTAGATCCGATCGAGAAAGCACTGACAGTTGCAGAATGTGTAGGTGGCAAGGGCCAAGTTGGAACTACGAACGAATTCGCAGCGAAGAATCTGCTGGGTTGACTCGGATTCCGCTCAAACAGGAAGAAGAGGAGCGCCTCGAGGGTATCTATTAATAGTCGGTGTGGTGTTCAAGTGGCAGCACTCGCGTCGCTTCTCTGGCAACTGCACTGGGTGTCCCCAACCTGTGAGATACGTTTCCTGGCTCTCAGCAAAGTCAAGTTCAAGTTTATCAGGGCGCCGAGAGAAGGCCCACAATGAGTTCACTACACTCATTCATGTACTACATCCACATCGTGCTAGCCACGAAATCTTCGTACCATTGTACACTTGCCAAAAAGCGAGGCGGCCAAAAGTACTCGTCTACGCGTCACGCAGCAATTCACGTTGCTTTCGCCTTCGCTTGCAGGTCTATTTGCTTAAGTGTTCTTTTTCGGTTCCTTTCAATATCTTTGTCACATTGTTTGCTTAATTGTTCTCTTGCTTTTGTGTTTAGCCTCCGAAACTGAAGTCGCGGCACGGGTATCAATCTGAAGCTGATCTGATAAGGATATACTTAGGGCTCCTTATAATTTCCCGGATAAAGAGTACTTCATTTACTCACGTGACTGCTCGTAAACATGCGAAATTCGCTTTGTAATGTATTGTATGCCATCGTAAACCATACCCCATATATACCATATAAGTGTGGCACTTTTCTTGCATAATAAACACTTTTTGCTGCCCCTGTCTGCAAAATTTTCCCACGAAAACCTTTGCAACTGGTTGAAATTATCTTATTTGCATAGAAAAGAAGCATTATTTATGCCACATGGTTCGCTTTGCACCCCGTCTATAAGTTTTCCTACACGGCAAAGTGAAATGAATTGTAATTACTCCGTACAGAACCACTTGGCATTTATTGAATTGCATTTCAAATGGAGTGCAAATTTGTTGCACTTCAATGGGACTCGTGACTCAGTGCCTGGTAGAAAAAGTCATAATTCCAGTGACGTTGCGGGTTATTCTCACCTGTAATCCCATAAGTAGTTATAGTGCGATCTAACAATAATGTGCCACTAATACAAAGCATATATATTATCCACCTTGGCTACTTTGAAGAAGAACTTATTTCAATACAATTACATATGACCTATGTGTATAGATTGTAGATTATAGATTGACCATCTATAAATAGAAATATTGGGCTACTTGGTGAGTTACCTCTTAAGAGGTAATACTTTTCACACAACTAGATATTTTTATGGTAAAGACCCATTGTTCTGACAACCGATTGCACTAAGCTGATTTTTCCCAACAGCAGTCCACTGACCCCATGCACTAAAACGCGTTTGAGCTCAAACTAATCGGGAGAAACTCACTTCTAGTTGCAGTATGCACACTAAATAAAATTTCCAGGTCGGGATACGTAATTCCGTAAATCCGTAGTTTCCCACAGCCCTCTCACGATTTTAATTCCACGTGCCCTACAAGTTATGTCTAGGCAGGGTTAAATCCAAAATGTTTGAGGTCGAAAAAAGGATTAGCGATTTAAATCCGACTTCCGACGGCATTGGAAACATCTTGATCTGAGTTATAGTGGAGACTTAACATAATTTATTCATAAAAGTCTCGTCCTTCTAAAATTATATTTTACGTTACTTCGCGATGGCACATAGACTGCTCTTAATAATATATATTACTTTTATCAAAATAATTCTAATTTATGGCTCATAAAATTTTACCTTACTCAAATCACTTTAACATTCGTTGAACACGTTATGGGGGTATTATATAAAAATATTAATCCTTTGGCCAACACACGACGTTTTCTTTTTAGCAGGACAGTAAAATTATTACTATGTATAAGACTTCATTGTCAGGCTTCACAAGCTAAGCCCGAGCCTAATTATTTTACGATTGTGCTAAAAATTGATGGAAAAATACTCTAGATCTAGATCTAGTAGCAGACCCGCACTCACCTATTTGAGATAATCGTCCAGTCAAAGGGGCTGTGCTATTCTGGTAATCATAATTCTCGAAGGATACTTCTCACTGGATAACGAAGTCTGGGGATCTCCTGGTCGCTGTGGCTGCCACTCGCTGTGAATATTGAACGAATACTGAACTCATGGCAGATCCATCGCGCTCTTCACACTTCACTTAAAGTGCCAAAAACTCTAGTAGTTTCGACTCACACTCACACTCGCACAGACACATGTCACCGTCACCAACTGGCAAGCAGATATACTCGTATTATATATTAAGCAAATATCTGTGCTAATAAACAATGTATCAAAAGAACGGCGAGCTGCGATCTGCGATCTGCGAACTGGGTGAACCTGCGAATGAAGCCCGAGCTGTTTGCCCAACCAATTTAGCGCTTGTTGCAAAATGAAAGCCGTTTTTCAAACTGAAGTCGCGCGCGCGCTCGATCCGGATTGAGATACTCTACTCGGATCCCGATTCTCGGATGCTCGTCATATCACGAAGCTGGGACTTGCGATACGAGGCGAGTATAGTAGTAACGAGCACGGAAATTTTCATATCGGCACGCTGCGCATGCTCAATTGATTTGCAGCTTTTTTGCTTGCTTTGGGCTGTTCTGCCGAGCTAATTTCACATCATAACTTTTGCCTTAACTGGTTCGGCATCGGTTTGGCAGTTAGCTTTCCTCGCCATCATGTGATGTATTAATTAAACAATAATTACTAATTGACAGTAATTAATAATTGAACCAAAAACAAAAGGCCAAAAGCGTGACACGTTTTTTGGGCAAACTCTTTGAAAAACTGATTGTTTAACGTGGATGGATAACGTAGGCAAAAGTTCCCAAGCCGTTTACAAAGATATCTACGACGTTAGAAATTTTGGTTGGATTTTTTTGGTTCTTTTAAAATGTAATTATACACTATACGGAAAAAGTAGGAAAGTGTATTGATCGATCACAGCAAAAGCCTTATCTCTATAAATTCTTGTGATCCCCTGCGGTTTTCAGTGTTTTCACCCGATTGAATTTAAAGTACGGCATCAGTTTGAATAAACATGAAGAGAAAAGGTAAAAAGGTTTTAGTTCCTATTAACAATGACATACTAAATAATAATTATTAATTTAAAATAAAAATTTGAAATGTTACAATTTTCTTTCTTATAAAAGATGATTCATATTTCACTGAAAAGATGTTTAAATTAAATGTTTCCATACATTATAATGGGTACATTGCGTATATCTACATATGTAAGCTAGCAAAAGGTATTCTTAAAAGTGATTTAGTTAAGCAAGTTGGTAATTTAATGTAAGCTTTTTTGAAACAAAATTTTCTCCTTAAACTCATCCAAAACTTTTTGAACACCCCAAGATTTATGATTCCAAATTCTGATTTCTTAATTTTCTTTCTATGCTATGGGATCAATCAACAAATTTGAAAGAAATTGCTAATTTCTTGTGACGACTATTTGGCAAAGTCGTCTCATCGTTAATATCCGATGTAAATAAAATGACGAAAATTGCTAAGATTTATTTCGCCGGTACCAATGGGCCGAGCTTAACCTTGTTATTGAACTCCCGCCCGGATTTTCGCAGCTTCCAACTAAGTGATACCTATTAACCAAACGCCACAACAAAACAGGTGACAATCATATTTTTTCCACAAAAGAGAAGAGAGGTAATATTTGCTGCTAATTCAATTTATTGTGCTTTGTGTTTATTTGGATTGGGAATCCGTTGAGCTGAAGTTGTTTACATTGGCAATTTCACAGTCATTACGGTCTCCCTTATATGGGGCATAATAAAAAGTGCCAATAGGAAAATTTCACAGATTCTACTGGTTATATGTTCAGGCTGACGGTTGTTTCCTCGGTTGTTTCCTCGGTTGTTTCCTCCCCAAATCCCGGATGAGGCGGTGGAAGATCCTTAAACCGTTTCCTTACGAATTCATTTCTAAAGACCTTATCAAAGAATTTGTTGGCTTTCACATAGTTGGGATTCCGTATGAATCTCTTTTGTCGACCTCGCCCTTTTGGCCATTTCTCCTGCCTTTTTGTATTGCTACTTGATTCAAAGCCTATAACTTCCTGATCCTTATTCGTGCTGTTAGGTGATTCTGTTCCTAGCTCGGCATCGCCATCTGGGGTTCCAGCTTCCAAAGACTCTGAGGGTGTTTCGGTGGACTCTTTAGACGAAGAAACCAGATCGCAAGTCGTAAGCGTCAATAAAATGAAAATTGCCAAATACGAACTAGACATGTTTGGCTAGCTACAGATCGTTTAATACTGAAAAAATGAAAATAAACGGCTATAATGATCTATGACTTATGGGAAATTAGATAGTTTACGGCTAATGGGGAGATAATTCGAAACACTGAGCACATTTTTACATTGATCGATGCCAAGACTCTGAGCTTTTCTACTTATACTTCACACAAATAGTTCTACTCTTTTGTAGCCGTTCGTAATTAGGATCGGATCCTTTCTAAATACACTACGGAAGAACGCTATATTCGATTTTCACGACTATTAGATACCCATTAGTCCGCTAGGAGAAATGAAAAACCAAAAAACCCGAACGATCTTCATTCAACATTGTAAGCGTGACAGTTTTTTACAGCTTGTAGGCGTTATAGTCGGCATGACCAAAATGGTTTTGGCAATGAGTCCCCCGCAAAATTGTTCCATGATAATATACCAAATTTTTATGGTCGTAAGGTAAAAGGGTATACTAGATTCGTTGAAAACTATGTAACAGGCAGAAAGAAGCGTTTCCGACCAGTATATAGTATATATATTCTTGATCAGGATCAACAGCCGAGTCGATCTGGCGAGATTAGGCATGCAGATTCCAGAGCGCAAAGTTTGTTAAATGTTGCAAAACACTAAAACTAACACGCCAACACTTTTAAAATTTGTTTCGATATTTTCTCCTTTTTTTATTAGCCTTGTAAATATCTATAAATTTGGCAAAAATCTTTTTGCTACGCCCACTCTTCGCACTTCCACAAAGGAGTAACGGGTATCTGATAGTTGGCAACTCGACTATAGCATTCTCTCTTGTTTAGTGTGGGATTTTAATTCAAATAGATATAGTGTCATAACAGCAAAATGACTGCAGTATTTTATGTTAGGTATGGTTTTATTGCATTGGAATCGCTGAAAATCTAGTATATTTTTTTGTACCGAAGGTGATATCTTATCCGTGAAGTACGGTCACACCACCAAGCGCAAGTGTGAGGATTTTTAGATTTTGCCACTAAATGAACTAAAAACGCAAGCAAAACAAAGGACTGGAGCAGAATTACCTGTTGGAAGCCACAATGCCACCCACGATTAACAATTCGGCGGTAAACAGTGCCGCCGAAAAGCGACCCCAGCGGCAAACGGAGCGCAAGTAAGTGAAAAGATCCCCAAACAGACGCCGGACTTAAGATTGCCTTGCAGATCCGAGATCATTTGCCGCGTGAAGTATGGAAACAACTTGCCGGACATACCCTTCGATCTGAAGTTCTTGCAGTACCCCTTCGACAGTCACCGCTTCGTGCAGTACAATCCAACGTCGCTAGAGCGTAACTTCAAGTACGACGTTTTGACGGAGCACGATTTGGGTGTCACGGTGGACCTGATTAACCGGGAGCTCTATCAGGCCGACTCCATGACGTTGCTGGACCCCGCCGATGAAAAACTGCTGGAGGAGGAGACCTTGACTCCCACAGACTCTGTGCGTTCGCGCCAGCACTCGAGGACGGTGTCATGGTTGCGAAAATCCGAGTACATCTCCACCGAGCAGACGCGCTTCCAACCCCAGAACCTGGAGAACATCGAGGCCAAGGTCGGTTACAACGTCAAGAAATCGCTTAGGGAGGAGACTCTCTACCTGGACCGCGACGCCCAGATCAAGGCCATCGAGAAAACCTTCAGTGACACCAAGAGCGAAATTACCAAGCACTATTCCAAGCCCAATGTGGTGCCCGTGGAGGTACTGCCTATTTTCCCCGACTTCACTAATTGGAAGTACCCGTGCGCCCAGGTCATTTTTGACAGTGATCCGGCTCCTGTGGGCAAAAACGTGCCCGCCCAGCTGGAGGAGATGTCCCAAGCCCTGATTCGCGGTGTGATGGACGAGAGCGGCGAACAGTTTGTCGCCTACTTCCTGCCCACAGAGCAGACTCTGGAAAAACGCCGCACCGACTTCATCGCTGGCGAGCTCTACAAAGACGAAGAGGAGTACGAGTACAAGATCGCCCGAGAGTACAACTGGAACGTGAAGACCAAAGCTTCCAAAGGCTACGAAGAAAACTACTTCTTCGTCATGCGGCAGGACGGCATCTACTACAACGAGCTGGAAACCCGAGTGCGCCTTAATAAGCGTCGCGTTAAGGTTGGCCAGCAACCCAACAATACCAAGCTGGTAAGTGTGTTTCCTATCCTACTCCTTTTTCTCAACTCAAACCCAAACTACGTACTAAATTCTTGTTTGTCATTATTTATATTGAAACCAAACTATATCGCCCAATAAGGGATCGTATCGATACCACTGCCAAATACAATTTTAGTACATGTAGTGTAAGGGTATGCTAGAGTTGCTGAATAGTATGTAACAGGTGAAAGGAAGTGATCAGAATCACTTGCCCTGCCCAGTCGATCGATCGGGTTACATCCGTCTATAAAAACTAGAAAGTTGGGATTCGCAGGATGGTTCTAAAGACTGGCTATTCATGAATGTTCACAGTAAGTTTTAACCTGTTTCTTTTTTCTAGGTTGTCAAGCATCGCCCGTTGGACAGCATGGAACATCGTATGCAGCGCTATCGCGAGCGTCAGCTAGAAGTTCCTGGCGAGGAAGAGGAGGAGGTGGAGGAGGAAGTGGGGGAAGACGAGGAGCAGACCCAAATGATTGGCGAGACGGAGACGAAGATCGAGGATGCCGCTGGTGGTGCACAGGCAGCATCTGGAGGGGATTCCCCCGCCCAAGTAGCCCGCGATCGACAGTCGCGTTCTCGGACTCGAACTCGCAGCGGGTCCAGTTCAGGATCGGGATCTGGATCCGGTTCGCGGGCCAGCAGCCGCTCAAAGTCTGGTTCTCGGTCTGGTAGCGGCTCCAGATCTCGCACAAATTCCCCGACAGGATCCCAGAAGTCCAGATCGAGATCGGCATCACGTTCCCGATCCCGTTCAAAGTCCGGCTCTCGGTCGCGTTCTCGATCTGGATCCAAATCCGGCTCCCGCTCCCGTTCGGGCTCCAGATCTGGCTCTGGATCGCGGTCGCCCAGCCGATCACGCAGTGGATCGCCTTCTGGATCAGGATCCAGTTCTGGAAGCGGCTCAGATGAATAAGTAATTACAAAAAATGCCGTTCATAAAAAATAAGTTTAAGTAAATTGATTTAATTGATTGATTCGCCTCAATTCAGAGCTCAGAATTCATTGCCTAGAATAGTTTAATTAAAATCGGCAGTTAAACATTTTGCATTGAAAGCGGGTTGAAGTCGGGTCCTTGTCGATTTACACTTGGCCGCACCATCTCAACACTATTCTGTCTGAGATAAAGCAAATAATATACAGACAAGAAACGTAATTAATAGGTTTTTTCTTAGTAAGTGTCTAGGAATTGATTAGATCGCCTTTGGGGAAGTGCGAACAATTTAAAATGTTTTACAAACATTGTAATCAATATACATATTCTTCAATTGTGCCTGTTATTTTTGGAGACAGTAGTTTGCCGTGTTCTCCAGAATCCAAATGATAAGGGTATATATTAATGTGGTTCGTTCCACCTACGTGGCGTCCATCAAAAAGCGCTGGAAAACTTCGCCATCGGAACTGGGTAGCTCCGTTTGTTGCGGCGAGTAGATCCTCAAGTTTTGGAGTTGCTGCAGTGGAGGGCCGTTCCCGCTGAAGTGTACCACAGCAACCGGCTGTAAGGGTATGAGCTGCCCCTCATCCCTCGGCTCCACGCCACAGATGCCCAGCTTCTGGCACTGCTCCACCACAATGTCGTCGATTGACTGCGAGAGCAGTGCCTCCTGTTCCGGATCCGTGATCGAGCTGCTGTTAATGGCAGCTATTTCGGCGCTCGCTGGGGAGGTCTGAGTGGGAGAGTCGTTGCCATCCAGGAACGCCTTTATCAGCTGCTCCGGGGTTTGGGCCTCCTCGGTGGGACATCGATGGGTCCTTTGGCTAACCTTGTACCTGAACGTCTTCTGGCAGAGCTCGCACTTGTACGGCATCACTCCTGTGTGGATGCGCGTGTGGACAAGAAAGGAGACCCTCTGCCGGAAACACTTGCCTGTGAAGCAGTCCGACATACAGAAAATAGAGATACAGATAGAGTGACCCGCTAAAATAGGTATACCTTTGCTCCATTTAAAACAGATAGCGCACATGGTAAAGAGTTTGATCAATACTCACCGCAGACCTCGCACTTGAAGGGCTTTTCGCCACTATGGATTCTCTGGTGGTTGTGCAGCGTAGACAGTTCCTTGAAGGCGCGTCCACAAACACCGCAGACATGGGGCTTTACCTCGCTGTGGTAGAGCAAATGCTTGTGGTACGACTGCTGGAAAGTGAAGGTTCTGGCGCAGATCTCGCACGTGTACGGCATCTCGCCGGTGTGGAGCCGCTTGTGCTTCTTCAGAAAGTACTTGGTGGTGAAGGACTTGCTGCACACGTCGCATTCCCACAGCTTCGGGGTGGCCGTGCCCGACTCTGGCGAGCTGGGGGACTGCTGGAGCATGCTCAGCGCCCCACTCAGGGCGTATGGCTGGGATGTGGTGCACATGGAGTTGCTTCCGTTGCCAAGGGCTCCCGGCTCTGTGTGTCGAATGCGATCGCAAATGCTCAACTTGGGCGAGGGACTAACTGCAATGGTGGTGGGGGCGGGCGTGGGACTGGGGTTGGAGCAGGGCACTCCCATCATGTGCACTACCTTCAGGTGGATGCGAAGGGAGCCCTTCATGCGGAACGTCTTGGAGCAGAGATGGCACTTATAGGGCTCCTGGTCCTGTAGGAAGAAAAAATCAGAATTTCGCTTTTAATTACCCATTATCAATAGGGACAGGTCCTTATGCCTATTGGATTTAAAAATATTCCATTTAATTTCCGCGTAAACCTAATTTAATGTAATCTGGGTACCATAATTTTTGGTGAAGTTGGTTGCTATTTTCGCTTTTTTAGTAATTCCATTATTACCTTGTAGTGGGTATATTGATTTCAGTCAGAAGTAAAAAAGTCATTCAGTTGTAATGCTATGAAATTTCTCCTAAAATTCTTATTACTATTACTACATCAATTAGTTGCCATATAAATAATCGAAACTACGGATCAAAATTGATCAAAATCGGACGAACTTATCGTACAGCTTCCATGGGAACAGTAGGAAAATTAATTTAAAGTAATGGAGCCGATATAATCAGCTTTTTGTTAAATAAATAATCTAATCTGTAAAGCTATGAAATTTATTCTAAAATTCTTACTACTATTACTACATCAATTAGTTGATGTAAATAAATAATCGAAACTACGGATCAAAATTGATCAAAATCGGACGAACTTATCGTATAGCTTCCATGGGAACAGTAGGAAAATTAATTGAGAGTAATGGAGCCGATATAATCTGTTGTATTTTAAATATATAATCATAATAATTAGGAATTCGTCTGGTTTTTTGTTTTATTTTTGTTACGTCTACGTGTTGCTATAGATGCAATGCCATTAAATTGCATGGGCATTAAAAACAGCGTTGAATCAAATGTATAAAATCACGAAAAATAAATGAAATGACGAGATATGAGAAAATGCACAATCCAACAGCATTACGAAAATTCTCTAGAGGTAATAGCACTTAATATATGTATGCACATAGGTAATAATTACCGACTCCTTCTGTTGGGACTCCTTTTGCTTCGGCTCTCCCTCCGCGTTTTCGTGGACCAAGCGGATGTGCATGTCCCTCAGCTCGCTATTCCGGAAACTGAATTCGCAGATGTCACAGTGGGCGGGAGGAGCGGCCGGAACAGGCGGTGGGGGTGGGACGACGGGCTTGGACCTGGTTCGCTTGGCCCTCCGTTTGGGAGCAGCTGCGGCAACGAGGCCGCGGGGGGAAACGGGTTGGCCATTCGCGGGACACTCGTTTCCCTCCTGAGCCATCAGACTGGTGTGCGAGAACAGGTGGATGGTGAGCTTGTCCAGTCCCAGGAAGAGCTCCTTGCAGTTGGCAAAGGGGCAAGCCAGTGGACCGTTCGCCGCCTTGATCAGCCTCTGCTGCAGTGCGTCAATACTACCGAAACTGGGCACCGCGCACAGCGGACACAGCACCGAGGTGGAACACATGCCCGCCAGCGCACTCAATCGAATCTTATGCAAATTCTTCACCTCTTATGGGGATAATCCTGCTGCTCAGTCGGTGATCATCTACTCAGGAGTCCATTCCCAGACTGCCTAGTCTTTCTGTTTTCAGAATTTTCTAAAAATATCAGCAAGTGAAGATTTTTAAAAACTTTTGGGCCCAGCAATCTGAGTTTTCGGCACCAGTTTTCGATGCCAGCTAACGAAATAATGAAAAATAATGAAATGCCCGGCGAAGATCGTCGAATCGACAAGAAGACTTTCGGAAACACTCGCAGCACCGAAAACTCATTTCTCGAACAAGGCAGTCTCTTTCTCCGTATCTCTGGGTGGCTCATTTCGAAATATAGCTCTGAGCACGGGCATGTACTATATGTAAAAATATTCTTGGCCGATATATGTTGCAGTGGCGACCATATAGCCTTCGTTCTAGTCTTTGTAACGCACGATGCGGAGGGCAATCCGTCGGACTTATCTAGCGATCTATCATTATGACCAGGTTAGCTCTATAAATGGCTGCTCAGTCAATTTCTGATTGCAATATTGGTGGTTGTAATAGTAGCTACAAAAGTTCATTTTCCTTTTCTTGCCTTTATGTTCAGTAAGTGCCCTGTTTGAAATGAGACAGATAACAAGAGAACTGCGAAGATATTGCAGATATTTTTATTTGGAAAACACGAAGCTTGAGTATATTTCAAATTTAATTGGCAATTAAATAAAAGAAAAGAAAATGTGTTCATATCCGCCTAAGTAATAGAGATCTGAAACCATAAAAAAACCGTAAGCGAAGGTGGTAGATATTTCTTGGAGTATTTTGGTAGAGCATTTCCTAGTCAACCATCTGAACAAACGTTCCGCTAGACACACACTAGTACCCCCACTGAATCGTTGTGAGCTATTTTTATGGCCGCAATGCTCTCTTGTTTTGACCCGCTTTGGCAACGCATTTTATTCGCTGTTTCGTTTAGATGGTCAATTTGTAAACACTGCGATGGCCAACACGTGAAGATACTAGCGTACGGTTGAGGTCATCGGATATCCAACGGAATAATAAATAAATATATTATTATAAATGAAAAATAAATTATTTTTTCTTCGGCAAGGGCAACTCAAGCGATATGATGCTCAGGCCGGACTGGGAGGTTGTGGAGGAGGTATCGTCCTTGAGGGAGCTCATGTCGGAGACGGAGGACCGGGCACTCGCCCCCTCACAGGCGAACTTCTTTCCCTTGACGCGGAGGTAGGAGGCGGTGTCCTGACCCTGCAAGGACTTGCCCGAGGAGCTGCTGTTCCACGACACGCGGCTGCACGTGCGCTTGAGGTGCATCGGCAACTTGATTCCCTTGCGCAAGAGGATTCCAATTATGTTCGTGCCGGCCTCGTCGCTGTTCGCCAGATCGGTAATCATGTTCAGCGCCTTGGTGTTGCGCGCCTCCAGCTCCTGCAGATTTAGATCCCGCTCGAACTGCGCCAAATACTCCTCGCTAAAGGGCCGTGCCTTGATCTCGCGCAACTGCGTCCGGATCTCTCGATTCGCCCTGTCCAGCTTCAGTCGCTGGTCGTCCAGTTCCCGCTCAATCTTCTCCAGTACTGCCGAGTGCTCCGCCCGACTAGCCTTCGCCTTCTCTATTTTACCAATCAGGTCCTCCTCCTCCGCCCGCTGGGCTGCGTGCTTCTGCTGGTAGTGCTGCGCCTTGCATCTTAGAACCTTCAATTTTTCCAGCTCGCGACAGTAGGCCGCCTCAAGCTCCTTTAGCTCCAACTCGGCCCGCTCGCGATCTGAAATTCAGAAGAAGAGAACCAAATCTATCATCCAATATCTCATTAAACTCCAGGATTCTAACCCATCTGGTTTGTGGGCGGTAGAGTGGGCGTGCCGACGTCCTGAACAAACTTGGAATGCGTAACTAGAATATGAATGCTTAATCCCGAGATTTCGTGGTACATACGAAAAGACCGCCAGATGGACGGACGGATAGTAGTCTTAATCAAGAATATCTACAAATTAAATTTGTAGGGTCGGATCATCTTCTTTCTACCTATTACACAACTTTTTTTTTTTTTATTAAATAAAAAAAAAAAAACTTACTTTACGAGTAACGGGAGGATAATAGAACAAAATACAAGTTTTGTTGTTTCTTAACATAAAGAGTTCCCATTCAGTATACTTTAGCTTACTCTAAAAGATGCACAAAGGGTGCAAGAGTATTTTCATTCCGTTTCCGAGCCATGTGATCCAACAATTTTATAGTTAAAAGTAGTCAAACTTACCCTTCGAGTTTTCGTCCACTGATCGGAATGTTTTGCGGTAGTTATCGTTCGATTTGTCGAACTGCCGCAGAGT